TATTTACATTTTTTGGCTTATGCTGCTTCATCTTTTACACCATATACCTTACTTGGATTAAGAGAAACAAGCTTGAAAATGGGTGGAGAATCATTTTAAGGTAATCGTGCATTTACTGCACATGTCTATGTTTGCAATATGTAGTGCCAAATCAAGTAGATACACATCATGGACTGACTGCCTCTGGCCTTGTCCTCAGTGCCCCAGGCAAAACCCATTGAACAGGTATATTTCAATATTTTATTCAGCTCCATTTTCCACGGTCCCATTTTTTTATTTTTTGAGTCAAAATATCTCATTATGTTCATTATCTTGTTTAATGTCACATCTGCCGTCTACTTCCAATATCTCTCTCTCTTTCTCTCTCTCTCTCTCTCGCACATGCACGTGTCTGCTCACTCACAGGCTGAATGTTAAATCCAGTCCCTGTTGCATAATTCATATAACGTCGCGGCATAACCTTCCAGGGGGGAACTTTAAGTTTTACCCCCATTGTCCTGAGGGTATTGTATATGTTTGGGGGCTTGTGCGTATCCATTTCTGTATGTGAGGAACAGTTTAAGACATACACAAGCTTTTTGTTTTGCCGGTTGACCTTTTAGCAGTAACGCAGCTTTTGTGTTGTATATTTATATCTGGCCCTGGTCCTGCATTCACCTGTTTAACATAAAATCCTCCTGATCTTGTCTCTTGCTTACATGCACATGTCCACTTTTTTTTATTTTTTAATATAAATTTGATTACTTAGTTATTCATGTACACAGGCACGTGTGTACAAATGCATTTTATCACGCTTATCTGCTGATTATTACAGCATCAGGGTACATAGGTGAATGTGAATTGCGCTGCTTGGGGATTTTAAATGAAATTTTCTCTGATGCCTACGGTGCAAACTCATACCGACAGGATCCAGTCTTTTTTCCCAGCGGAAGGTCAACCTTGCTGCAAAACTTGGAATAAGCACGGCAAGCATTTGGAGTTGAATGGATGATGAAAATATCTAAATGCTAATGAAAATGAGGTTGGGTTTGGAGAGATGGTAAATGTATTACGCCGCAGGGTTGTGATCTGCAACCATAATGTGCTTTCTCATGTTCCTGTGACTGCCATGTTTGCACTGCATGAGGGAGCAGGAATCAAGATCAAGGCATTGCTCGACTGCCAGATGCAACTTTACAAAGTTGACAGAATTGATATAAGAAGTTGGTGAAGTAGCACAGGAAAACATGACAGTAGAGGGTTGAGTTTTCTACAGCTTAAGTCGGCTATTTAAAGACATTTCATTTTCCACTATCTCCTTTTTGACTTTCATCGTATAAGACATTCATACCTAAAATCATAAACATTGTACCCCTTTGAGATAATCTTTTCAGTTTGATAAATACGGCAGCCTGAAAGAAAGCGACATATTATCATCACCTTTCACTGGCAGGAGGAAATGAATTGCCTTATTGGAACATGAACTTTTAAATGCTGATGTACTTATTCAAAGACAGCTGGAGCGTGACCTCAGCGGACTCTCATTCAACTAAAAATTCATTCTGACCCAGTCGACTGTCTGATCAGATACAGCAGAGTTTCTTCTTTTCTGAAATCTTGCCAATTTATTGCCGCAATTTCTCCCTATTTATTGAATAAGATTGACCTGATTGAGTCCATGGTGCCTCGGTGGCCGGACGACTATCATAACTGCTCCAAGACTCAAACTCAATTCAGACTTTTTAAGAGCTTTTATCGCTCGTCATTCCCTGATTTCTCTTGGCACTCTACACTGTCAACAACCTAATTTAAAATGGCCCGAGTGTTAAGTCTGCCGCTCCAGGCTACGTTTTAGTCACAGTCTCATTTATGTAGCGATTAAAGCTCAGGAGGCAGGATAAAAGCACATCTTTATTAGTGAGCAGTGAACGGTCGGACAAAGCAAACATTACAGTGAAATTAAGGAAACCACTTGGGATTTCCAACATGACTCCCTGTATTGATTTGTGGTGGGGTCAGAGTCCATGTTAGTGTGTCCCTGTGGCTCCTCTCTCTTTGTGTTTGTGAATCCTGAGGTTTTGCCAATCGTTAAGTCTCTCGGGTCACTTGGTAGGATCCGGCTGTGAATGTGAAATCCATGTAAAACTCAGAGTGTACTAGTCAGTCAGCAGGAAATGTCAGACTGAATCAAGATTTAAAACAAAAGGTACATAGGATTTATTAAAGGGACAAAAAGAGAAGCTGTAGACATTTTTCTTTTTGTGTTTTTTACATTCCATTTTCTATAATGAACAATATATATGTCTGACCAACCTAAAAAGGAATAAGTAGGGTTTCAGAAAAACTGTGAAAACTGTGCTAAGATAACCATGACATTTTAGATTATCTCTTTTCCTGAAGCCCGCTGCACAGCTGCGTCCATTTAGGACAGAAAATGGACTCTGGTAATATGATAAGTGGATTAGATGCAGTAGAGGATTGAACTTAATGGTTTTCAATTTAACATTCCAATGTTCACTGTTTTATATTTTCTGTAATCACTTCAGTAAGTGGTGGAGAAGTCAAAGTCTTCCCCTCAAAGCTACTGATGGGATACAAATAAAATGACAAATATACAAGTTAATAGAAATTAATTTGATGTAAATCATCAAAAATGGTCTTGACATTCACTAAATGTCAACACTATGGAGATTTTTGAGAGGTTTTTGATCTGCAATTTTTGGATATCACCATCATCAGAAAAACCAAATGGTGGATTTTTATTTTCAAAGACCAAAGGTGTTAATCCCTCGAGTAGTGCGGAGAGATCTCTTAGTAGGATCACCTGTTTTAAAGCTTGTTGTGGTAACTTATTCAGTGACATAATGGTCCCATTCAAGTGATTCAAGTGGATCCCACCTCAACACACACACAAATTCTACCCCCAGCCTACATCCAAATATTTAATTGTGTTTCGTTAAACCAGATTACAGTCTTATAAACAATGTGATCACGAAGAATCCATTAAAACTGTAACAAACAGGCAAAAAAAGTACATAGGCTATCCCATCTTACAAATGTATAGTAAATACCCAGTTTAGCATTTTTGCTAAAAGGTCCAACGTTATTAAATTCTGATAAATAAGAAAATGTATGGTTTTTTTGGGGGTTTTTTTGGCTGTAAAAATAAATGTTAACATTTCTGGTTGTCACATAATCATCTGCTTCCGGCATCCATGTAAATCCAGATAAAAGACTACAAAAGATATCATCGTTAGACTTTATGAGGTAATAAATCATTATTGTTTGCTTATATGTGATTTATTATCCTACATTATAAACTTACAAAGCGGTCATGCTTTATGTTGGATTTTAGATTATTTTTACATCTCTGTATTAATGAGTAAATTTGAAAATTCTAAATAGTCAGAAAGTGGTCATTAAAGTGGCTTTTGTGTAAGTGTGTGTTTGGATGATATGGAGGGCTTCTCAAGCCTCCCTGAATTGTATTTCACAAGATTGATTGTCTTGTGCTTCTTAAATGACAGTCATGGATTTATTAAAGAATGAGAGCTGAGGTATGAAAAGGAAATACCCTCTAACTCTGTCTGAGGACAATTGGTGTGCCTTTGAACAATCTTAAATCTAATTTAAACTTTGCCAATTTTGCAGTGATGCAGGTTAGGGTTGTTCGTAAATGCTGACATGAGGCAGATCACTTAACCTTCATTCGTCCTGCCTCTACTTGAGAAAGCCCTTCAGCACCATGGACAGTGCCAAAGAATCTGAGCCACAGACATGCATATTTTCATCAGACTTCCACCTATTCAACATGATTTCTGTGTGAGAATTACAGGAAACCTCAATGATTTTGTGTCTCAGATTGGCCTCATTTTCCCAGAGCCTTTGTCGAGCTCATTAGATATGCCCAACATGCTGTTAGAGAACCAGGGTGAAACATCCATGACTCATTAAGTGTTGTATTTACTTTTCACTGATGCCTCCAGGTTACAAACAGCAGTCTATAGATCACCATCACACTATTGAAACCAGTGTGGGTTTGGGGGTAATTTGGTATAGTTAAATAAGCATCTGCACCCACTTTTAACCTGGAGAACACAGCAGCGTCGCAAAAGACCCAGTTTTCCATCTTGAGGCTGCTGCTGCTGCTGCTGCTTCTGCTGCTGCTGCGGGGAGAAACAGAAACTTCACTCAGGCTATTACATAATTGGGGATGTAAATGGGATAGTGTGTGCATGTGCGTGTTTGTGTGTGTAGAGGGAGGTTTCTTACAATAGGCAGAAAGCAAAAACACCCAAGATTGGAAAAAAGAGGACGTCTAATGATGAAAGATTATTTGAGTTCTAACCCAAGAAGATGATGTAGAAGGTTGGGTTTTGGGGAGGAAAAAGAAGAGGGGGGGGGGGGGGTCTCAGACATACTGCATCATTTAAGTAGTCTACTGCGGCTGATGTCACTTCCTAAGCACCATAATTGGTCTTCAATGATTCTTAAAGCTGTGAAGAATGGCTAAATGAAACACACACACTCAAACACACACACATCCCCAGGGGAGAGCTTCACTGATCTATTGGAACCTTAATTGCTCGGACCTCACACCGTCTGTCTCCCTCCCTCTCTCTCTCTCTCTCTCTCTCTCTCTCTCTCTCTCCCTTCTCCTTCTCTTTCTCCCTCTCTTCCTTCTCCTCTCTCACTCTCTCTCTCTCTCTCTCACACACACACACACACACACACACACACACACTCCAACACTCCATCTCGTCTGTTGAGCGCCACAGCGTCGCAATTTTTCCCGCTCACCTGTATCGCACCTCCGCTGCCTTGGGCCCCATGTGGCCCCTCCCTCACTGGACTGGACCGATAAATGGGTTAAGTCTGTCTCTGGGAGAAGCCGAGATAAATGCGGCGAGAGCGTCGGGAGATCCCCCTCCGCTGTTTTACTACCGATCGGCACCCAAAGGCGCCGTCCTCTCATCTGCGACGTGTTGATTCGACAGAGTAGATTGAATGTAAATCGTGATTTATGGTTTTATGAGGAGGAGACGGCCAGCAGCAGCGGTTCTTAGACCCAGACCCGTGGGCGGCTGGGTGGCGTCCGTCTGGGTGAGCTGATAGGACGAAGACTTGGCACTCTACCTACCAACTGCTTCATCCCAAATTTTCCAGATATGGCGATGAGAAGTGAGATGTAGAAATCGGATGGGAGGCCATACATGTGGGTTTGTGCTTCAGCTGAAACGGACAAAATTGCCCATTTCTTTCTCCTCCTCCTTCTCCTCCTCCTCACCTAACCAGTTGATATTTTGTCTAAAAAGTGTGCAGCACATGACACCCTGGTGAATCCCCGAGGCTAGTCCCACACACAGACTGAATGAGTTCATCTCTGACTGTCGGACGGACTCCTCAAAAGCGCAGGACGGATGCAAACAGACTAAACAAATCTTGGCATTTTGGAACACCCTCAGCGTCTCCGCCTACGGTTTTATAACCGAGTGGTGAATCTGTCACCGGGGGACCCGTCGTTTCACAGACAGGTAAGGATAACAGTGTGTCACCTCTGGGTGGGTGTTTTAAAGGTGATTACCATGGAGTAATCGGCCGCCCATGCGTCTGTGCCGCTGATGTCCGCAGATCCGCGCGGGTGACTGCACCTGTTGTAAACTGTAGGCTATTAATGTGCGGCGCGTGCATGTGCGCACGCCTGCAAAAAGATCTTCCAAGTGTGATGTCTGTGTTTGATATCTGACAAAACAATAATGTCTGTCTATATTTACATTCAGTCTCTTTCATCTGCTCCTAAAAAACACTCTCCCGCTGTATGTGCGCGTCGCGCGCGTCACTGCGCGCTGCGTGGGTTTGATCGGTATGATTAGGTTATTACAGGTCCATCACACGTGCTCTATGAGTGCAATTATAGTATAATTGTTTCAACACTCTGCGGATTGTGAAACACTTCAAAACACTATACATCATGCTGTATGGCTTTATCAGCCGCCCTCGTGCTCACACGCTGTAGCATTTCACACAGCTCTCTGATAAATGAGACCAGCTGCAGTTTAAAACCCACTTGTATTCCTTCTCGCCTGATGCTGTAAAACTCTTAAGTTATAAACATGGCCATATCTGTGACCTGTCCCACTTGCATCCGTAATCTAATAACTTGGAGGTGACACAGAGTGTGTATGAGGAGTTTTTTTTTTTTTGGCGGGTAGAGCTCAAGTTTTTTTTATGCTTAAAAGAAACACAATATTGTTAGACACACAATTCTCCATGCAATTAGGGCGGAATGAAGCAGCGTGTGCACGCGTCCAGCAACGCGTCCTCTGCAGATGCGTGGCACACCATCATGGGTGTCAAACTCTTTTCCCCGTTTGGTACAACACTTCAACCGCACAAGAAGTAATTAACGTAATTATAGCTTATTTGATAGAAGATCCATGGTACATACATTGACACCTACTCTTCCTGTGCTGGTGGTGTAGTTCCAGAATTATTCACCTGCTGGTTGTCCGGTCAGGTGACCCAGGGTGACCCCTGTTAGAGGCAGCTGGAGTCGACATGATGGGCATGCTGCAGAAACGTTACTTAAGCGGAATTTACGGTCAAAGCGAGACGGCAGAGAGTGTGGAGGTTGCCTATGTTTGCCCAAGGTGACTTCTGCAGGACACTGATAATGTGCCATGGATAAAGCAAAGACAAAAGTATTTTGACATTTAATCATTTTAATGATTGCAAATCTAATCACAAGCCATTCCATTCTAGGGTACCTGTTGAAGCAATACATCCTTTTTGTTTGATCTTTTTGAAGAATCACAGCATTTGTCATTCAGCACTGATGTTTAAACTGATCAGCTGTGGTATCGCATTAGTTTTACCTCAAAAAGAAGCCATGGTGAACTGACTGACTGATATTTTTGATAACTTGAAGAAAAAAGAGAATAATTTGTTGTTTTATTTTGAAGTCCGCCTGGCTTGTGTACAGATCTCATATTCACCAGAGTTGACAGCTGAGGTAAAATAACATATTTTTGGATGTTTTGGCGGTTAATTGGTTGCTACTGCAGTAATGCCAACCTGCTTCATTTGATCTGGTGGATTAGACTTGATTCTGTTGTCTTTTTGGTGCCTCTCTGCTTATGATGGCAGTGTCTACACGTGCTCTTTTCTGCTTTTCTCTCCATGGGGACAGGGGGAGGTGAGGAAAAAAAAAACATGCTTCTCCTTTCTCCCCCTTTCCTGCATTTGGCTCAATCTCTGTTGCTCCTCTTCCTTGATCTGAGCCTATCCCCTCTCTTCTGAGCTTAAATTTGTTCTGATCACCACACTGCAGACTTGAAACTCAGCTCCCCAGGGTGCAGGTGACCCCTCAGTTCAAACACCATCAGTCAGCCTCCCTTTCATTTGCTCCTTTCATCCTCTTCCTCCCCTCTCATACCTGTCTGTCTACTGTTCTGTCTGTCTGCTACTCCTCTTCCAGCGCTCAGCCAGGCAATGAGGCTTATCAGATGGAGGTTTTCTGCTAAAGCTTGTCCTTGTCAGCTCTCATGTCTGTCTCTGTGACAACAGCCTGTGTTTTCACGAGTAGGAAAACCAAAATCCAAAAATATATGGTAGAAAAAAAAGAAGTGAGTGAGAGAGGTATAAATAAGAGAAAGAATTAGAGTGTGACTTAGTTGATGTATGTGTTTACATGTGTGCTGGTTTTTCTGCCATGAGTGAGTGGGTGTTTCTGTCAGGGAGACAATCGTGTGAGCAGATGGACTGTTAAATGACATCCTCATATTCATTTCATATCATATGTCTTATTCGTTTTTCAACTGATTTCATAATTTACTGGATTCTGTTTCATTGATAAGTTTTGGAATTGAAAGATTTAGGGATCAGTCATTAAATGTTCATCAGGCAACAGCTAAAGTGGATACAATATTGATGGAGCATCGAATACACCAGCAGCTATTAGTTTTCAACATTGACAGGTACACATGTCAACTTGTCTTGGGAGTTTAAACATGCACATGGATTCATTAATTAACCATTTCTACATTAGTACATACAAACCAACCTTTTGTATGTGCATATATTTAACAACATTCAAGTTTTAACTCTGCTGAATCTGCACACACACACAATCTGAGCAACCTCCATAAAGGTTTGAGCAATAAATCCCAACATGTTTTTCTCAAGTATTCATGTGTGTACAGTATAAAAGAGAAAAAAACAACATATTGTCATCAGGTGATGTGGAGGTCTAATTCTTTTCAAGGAATGAATTCCCCCCCCCCCCTCACTTCTACATTTTAGTGGCCATACATTTTATCTTTTAATGTTGTCTCTAGTTAAACACGTGTCTTAATTTCATTTGCCATTTTAATAAATCCATTCATCACTTTAGGATGATCATGTGTGATGCAATTTTTTCAGTTAACCTTTCAGTTTTCTTCATTTGCAATTATCAGGTGAGAAGCTGGAAAAATGGTGTGCTGTTTTGTGTCCAACAAACCTGATGCCAGAGAAGGTTGAAAGTAGCAGAAGGGTTTCCAACCTTTGTCCTGACGATGCTAACTTTTTATTTTGTATTTTATGATTAAACCATTTGTCAAAAAATCAAAACACAAGAAGTGGCTCAAGGACCTTTGAGCCAATTTGCAAAAGAAAGCATCTTTACACTCCGACCTCTGAATCTGACATGTCCTCGCCCCACAAAGACAGAGCTAAACCATCACAGCAATACAAAAAATGCTTCACCTATTAAAAGTAACTCAATATTTGACAGAAGGTGTTCTGGATTCCATCAAACTCATTGTTATTATTAAGTTGTTAGATTTGTTTAACTGATATCTGCATCCATAAATTTAAAGGGGGGGGGGGGGGGGACTTCTAAAGGGCTCAGGTTATAAGTCAACAATTTTCCTTAAGTATTACATCCCCCTCCTTCAATGAGGCAGTAATTCATTCAGTGTAACTTCACATTAAAGGTCACATATTATACTCCCTATCAACAAGTTGAAATAAGAGCTCCCCAAAACATCTGTGAAGTTTCTTGCCAAAAATCCACTCTGATCCTGTATTTGATCATGCCTATAAACCCCTATTTCAGCCCAACTCAGAACAGACTGTTTCTGTGTCTGTATAGCTTAAAATGCAAGTGACCTGTGTGCGACCTCACCCCTCTAGAAGGGCTTGGGTGGCTTGGGCTTTCTTGCACCATGCCCAGTTGTTTACTTTGGATGGGCACACTCAGAGGGCAGAACAAACACCTAGCTGTGTGAGTGTCACTAACCTGCAGGGAGGGCTTACTGCCCTTTGTGGTGTCATGAAGGGAAAATCTCCAAACGGCCTGGTTGAGTACACAAAAGTGGAGCAGGCAAAAGACGGAGAGGATGGACTTTTCTCATAATTGGGGGGTTTGTAGACAGACTAGGGACATGTTTGTGTTAGAAAAACATAATAAAGTGTCTTTTGTATAATTATGTGACCTTTAAGTCACACAACTTGTGATGGTGAAAGGATGTGTGTAAAAGAAAGATGATGGAGGAAATACTCAAAATCACTCGACGGAATTCTAACTAACACCACACTAAACTATAGGCTACATCAAGGCTCTAATCTAAAGTTGAACTGAGCAGCAGTTTGTTTTTTATTACATTTTAAGTCTCACTTTAAGGCATGATATAGGTTGGATATGAAACATCCAATATATCATTTTGAAGTAAAGTATAATACGAAACTATATGTGATATGAATGATGGTTTAACTGTTAACTCTTTGGTCTCTAGAACGCAGGTGGTTTTTGGTAATTATCCAGCAACAAAACCTTGGTGTGTTTGACTGGTTGAGTGTTTGCATAATTTTGGCTGAAACTCAGCTCTGCAGAACAAATACTCATTGGGTAGCTTTAATGTGCAGCTGGGACAAGAGAAGAACCAGGAGCAGATGGACTGAAGACTAAATTTCCTCCAAGCTCAAAAACTATGCACACCAACACACTGACTCACACAACCCTCTCTACACACACTGTTTGCTGTCTGTCTCTGTTGATACACACCACTATTTTCACCCCTGCTGTCCTCTACAGATCACCAGAGCAGACTCCCATGGCTTTTAACCTTTTATACCATCTTTGTTTCAATGCACAGTGAGTGTCCTTTTTCCTCCCTCTGATTCCAAGAACCACAAATGATTAACATTTCAAATAACAGTGAAGACGAAAGGAGTGGAGAGAAGAAGAGAGGAGAGGGGAGGAGAGGAGAGAGGATGTTTATACTTTTACAATGTCTCCTGTGACAAAGACATCTCCACTTCTGTCTCTATCTCTCCTGTCTGGCAGCGGCACGCTCACGAAATACTCCTGGGATATCTCTTCCTCTCTCCATGTCTTCCTCTCTCTCTCCCTTCACCTCAACTCGCTTCAGTTCACCGTGTACTATTGGCAGGAATATAACATGAAGCATATTGCCAAAAGTGTCAAAATATTACACTGGGCGAGCCCTCAGGGGGGCAGCTCTCATGAATCAAAGCAGAGTCACTCTGATCATAGGACAGCAGGGGCTATGGCTGATTGATGCCCTGTCAAGCCCTGAGGTCTCTTGGTAAGGTGTTGGGTGACAGTGGGGATTATCTGGAGGAAGAGGAAGTCACAGGATCTGACGTGGGGGGTTTAGAAGAAACAACACAGAATGACAGGACTATATGCTTTTCCTCTGTGGACAGGCGAGGCAGCACAAAGAGCAAACAGGAGAAAGACAGCATGAGAATGATTGCTCGACAATACCAAGTTTCCTGATTGTACTTGGATGGTATTTATCAGAACAATAACAGGCGAATACTTTTCTTGTGACTCCATTGAATTATAATGAGATTACATAATTTGTCACTGTGATTGTGCCACGAGGAGACAGCGGTTTCTCTCCAGAAATGAGCATTAGCAGAGTAGAAGGAACAATGTTCCCTCCACAGGAGATTGTGTTTCTAAAAAGGACTCATGGCTACACCGGGAACCAGGGTTTCAATACACATGCACACAAATGCTTCTTAAGTGTGTGTTTCTCTCTCTTTCGCACACAGACACACATGCAAGGTTTATTTAGACTCTGTGCGTGTGTGCTCTACAGGGAGAAGATGCCATTCCACCATGTGCGGGCGGGCTTGCTCTATCCAGACAACTACCTGAGCAGCTCCCTGACGGAGGGCAGTGAAGCCTTTCAGCTCACCAGCATCTCCACCGAGGAGCTGGGAGGTGAGTTTGCTTACAGAAATAGAGAGGTTGGAGGGGGTGGGGTGAGACGTTGGGAGATTAGGGGAGGGGAGGGGTACAGATTGGGGTATTATCAATTAATGTTTTACTCCTGGAACAACGCAGTTACAACACTCCAATTCTCCTGGGGGAAAAGTTTTTCAATTTAGCCATTTGTCAGAGCCTGACTGGATGCATTGGTTTCCAATTCTGTTCCTTTGGAAATAAATCCAGACCTAAACGTTTCAGCACATTGATATTGTCAACGTAAATTCATTTAAAATCGCTTTTGTATGAAAATTGACTCAACTGATTGATCAAATGTGGTTTATAAGCAGCACTCCCCTGCATTGTGTATGCAAACAATTAAATACACTGTAGTCAATATATCCTTTTTTTTTTTAAGTGTTTTGATTTAACAAATTTTAAATTACAGTCCATTTGACAACTTCTAACCCATCCCTGTTATAATTGAAAAAGTACACCCTGAAATCCAGGTAGGCGGTGTAGTGTTTCTGAGGTCCGTCAGTCAGATTCTTTGAATAAACAAACCTCCAGGTTCAACACTTCTATTCACATATAACACAGTCACATGCTTAAATACAACTTACACTGTTTGTTGTGTTCATCCATCAAAGTACATAGGACTTCCTGGTTCAACTTGTACATTACTTCTCTCTGCTTTAGTGTTTCTGTATTAGCTCCAAATGAAGTGGTAACTAATCTGGCAAACTGACTCGTTTGGTTTCAATCTGTACCATCATGTTTCTTCTTCTGCTTGCCTCACCAGACATATTCAAAGCATTTTGACCGTTTTAGTACAAAACTATCATAAACGACGGCCAAAGCTGTGAAACTAAAACCCAAGAAGTAACAAACTGCGGTGTTAAATTGGCTTAAACTGACATGAATTACTTTTACTGTCATGCTGTCTTTGTGTGTGTGTTCAGTCAATGCCGGTGTGGCTGCAGGAAGAGGAACCCTTAACGCATATTGCATTACATTTTGTTTCCGATTTCAGGCTGTACTATGACATAACCTAACACGTTTACCAGCTATGCAAATAAAGCTCCTCTAAAATACAATGATTGCATATATTTTAGACATGTGTTCCTGTTGTGAGAAAGAAACAGCTCATCCTTTCACTGAGTGAGGACCGAGTGTGTTTTCCGACAGAAGCTGTTTGTTTGTGTTTATACATGTGGCCTATTGTAGTTTGCTCGAATGAGCTTTGGTATGAACTACTTTGTCGCATAAATCTTTTAATCCGTTGTCTCTTGTGCACAACTCGACTCAACCCAGTTCACCAAAACAGTTGCTTTGGTGCTGTAAAGGCAGAGTGGTACAGTGGCTGAAACGTCTTGTCATCATTAACAGCACTGGCCTTTGTCTGCGTTCTGTCTCTCAAGGGCAGCGGGAAGGGTAAAGCAGTTTGGACCCATGCAGAGCTATTATACAAATTAAATTCAGACTCTTAGACTCCAGACATTGTGATAAGCATTATCTAGGCCCTGTCAGCCCCAGATCCAACACAGCCAATGGGATTGTTTGATGTGGACAAAATATCCGTGGTGTTTGCTGCCAGCATTTGAAAACTCCTAATCCCACTTCAGAGAGATGCTGAAGGTTCTTCTTGGATCATCTGTTAGCACCGATAGAAAGCTAGTTAATCACCCCTGTGTTGGGCTCTGTATCTTTTCTCTGGTTTTGAGGCATTTCATCAATCACACCGAGAACATGTAGGGTCCTGAGGGGGGGTTGACTTGGTAATACACAACCACACGCAGGCTAGGGCTGCATGCTCCCACACACGCACACACACTAGAATCACACTGTAATACATCACGGATTGGCTCTACTGAAAATGTTTGGGTTCACTGTTGGGCTGCATACAAATACATCTCACTTTGTTTTGTGGGGTCGCACACACAATCACTTGGTTCCCAATCCCTCTCTCCCTCTGATGCTCACTGGGAAACAGTGGCTCTGTGCTCTGGTTTAGTCATCAGCTGTAGGGGATATTTACAGGCTTATAGCGGGGACTGGGAATTAACTTTAGGTCTCACTCAACTGACAGAGCAAAGACGGGCAACAGAGGAAGATCTGAGATGGACTCATTACACCGAGGAAGGAGGAAGCGCATGTAAGGACGAAAATATTAATGACACACAGTCTAAGAGACACACAGAGAGAAAGATGAACCTCATGTAAAATTCATTGTTTAAGTTGGGAAAAGGATTAGTCTTGGGGAAGTTGTGACTTTAATTCCATTGTGCAGCAGACTATTACTTTTCTCGATTGTGTGTCTACTAGGGAGAACTGAAATGACACCCTCTCCCACCCCTGAAGTGTTAACATCCACAGAAAAATGGAGTGCTCGTCTCTGAACAAAGACATTGAATAAAGTCTTTTCTGTCCCAGTTGTATTTATCAAGTTGATAACCAGCCCTGCATCCGAAGCTTGGCCTCCCCCTTTCCACCTTGTGCTAACTGATTGGCAGGCAATTAGCTGGAGGTTAACCAGAGTATTTTTCTAAAAGGGTCCTTAGAGGTTTGAGTAATTGTGCTTCACCAACCCATACCACATGAACGGTGGGTGCGTCTACTTTTTTATGTGGGAGGAGAGAGTCGGAAATGCTTTTGGCAATGCTGGTGGTGATTTCTGCTGCGTAGAGGGACTGATACAGGCCTTGCGGGGTTTTGAAAATACAATTATAAAGAGTATAAAGATGTAAAAAAGAACAAGAACGGGGGGGGGGGGGGGGGGGATCACCCTCACCTTGATTTGCTGGAAATAAAGTCTGCAATGCCTCCAGTTAATGTCATATCTTGACATCAGCAGCAGGGAAGCACCTTCATCTCCATCTACAGACCTGCTTAAAGCTGTAAATCATTCATTCATCTCACCGACACCTTCTGATGGTTCAATGTTACTGTTGGGGATAAGGTTTTATGAAGACAAAGATAATACAGTTCAAATTGAAATATTTTGCAGTCATTTTTTTTCAGCAATCATGACTTGGTATATGTCATCAGTGACACTGAAGTGACTCTAAACGCTAGGTGTTTTTTGTTAGGTTTTCATTTATTGTCATTTCCTGCTTTACTTAGAATTATGTACACTTCTCTCTGTCATTGTGTATCCTGCCTCGTTTCAACTCACCTGCATCTCATTATCACCTGATTGTTTGTGTATTTCATCCCTGTTTGTCTTCCCTCAAATTACCAGATTTTTTCGATATTCCTCTGCGTCACCTTGTCCTAGCGTTTCCTTATTAGTCTTTATGCTCCCTATGCCTGTTTTTGACCTTGCCTTTGCCTGCTCCTTATATATATATATATATATATATATATATATATATTTGTGGGGGAATGTTTATTGATCATTGGATTTCGTGTACCAAACAGGACAGAATAAATATTTTGCTTGCTTTTACTACTCCTGTTGAGTATGAAATCGAGCGGGTCGTTGAGTTTGAGCCTCTCAGACATGAACAGAAAGAATGTTTTTTTGGCATTCCCGCTCAAATCAAAACCTGTTTCTGATCTGGTGGACTGTTAGATACATACTTTATTGTCAGTGCATTTGGAATCCACAAATAAAATCAGTTTGGCAAAAATCAATTCACTAGCTGACTAAAGATGAATATATGCACATTTAATAATGCATTAGCATTCACACACATATGCACATATAAGACATAAGATTAATTTGAGAAAAACTCATTCTCTGAACAACTTAAATTCTAAAAGCTTTTAACTGATAAGGGAAGTTAACGTGTAATAAATGTAATGAATCTGAAATGCATTCTGATAATAAGTAGTCACAATGGTGAAATCCCATAAAGCCTGTTGCTCTGTTGTTATGATACAAAAGTCATTTGATTTTGGTTTGATAAAGGTTTTTATTTTCATTAAGCAGTCTAACATATTGATTGGCTGAACTTGTTTACACATCTAGAGAAATAGAGAACCATCATTCTTTAGGAGCATTATAAAGCCAGTTGTCATTCTCTTTTTTAGGTCTTTATGACCCTCCAAGAAATGGGAGCTAATTCTCGTCTTTGCTAAGCAGTTAGAAAACAGGGTCTGTCTGTTGTTGCTTTTTGTGGGATTAAAAAAAAAATATTACTGAAAACAGTTGTCTGCTGCATCTTGAAACCATCCTTTAAAGGCAGTGGGAGTGAATGAAAACAATAAAGTTGTGTGCAGGAAAATCAAAGCAAAGAGCTGAGACTCTGTACAGCCGAGGGGGACCAGAAAATGAGGGGATACACATCTATGTCTTTGTAACTTCCAGGGCTCCCTTGAACAAACAAGATGCCATTTGTCATTCCATGCAATAAATGTATTGATTTGTTACAGGGGTTAAAGAATAATTGTGGTGAATATAATTGGATGCAAAACAGCTGTCTCATGTGTCAAAGTCATGTCGTTTGATGCCCCAATCATCAGCACAGACAGTCTTAAAGAGGTTTTTGCAGCACTATGACAACATCACGCTATTTCTGGCTTTGCTCCTAGGAGACAACAGTCATTATTCACACAACCTCAAGATCTGTAGTGTTACAAGCCGCATAGACATGAATATGAAAACAGACATCATGCAAAAGCAAGATCAAACACACAGAAGGAGACAATTTAAAGAAAATGATCTACATATTTTACAAACATAGCAAGAAAATTCTTATTGCACATGTGTAGAGAGAATTGAAAAAGAAAAAACATAATGACATTGAAAATGCTGCAGAATTCTGTCACATTATCAGAAACACTTGAATAAATGGCATGAAAACACTCACTGAGGAAAGACCGGGGAAATCCTCCAATCGATTCAGTTCCAGCCACAGATTTTTATTGACTACAAAGAATAAGGACTGATGGATATTTTTATCTGCTGTAATGAGCCCTCAACCCTTTAGACACAACAGCACAAGGGAAAGAAAATGCATGAAAAAGTAAAGGAGAGGTGAAACACACATTGAGATCTTACATCACAAATGGCAAAATTGACCCAAATAACCTGCAACTAACATATCTGCACCGAGAAGATGCCATGAAGATAAATGAATCCACTGCAGTGTAAAGGAAGTAAAGCATAATACATGTTCATCTTTAGGAGCAGACAGACAGACGTACAGACATTAATATGAATGTAAAGTTATATGTTCTTTGTTTGCCATGCAGAGATCCGTGAGGCATTTCGTGTTTTGGATCGGGATGGGAATGGTTTCATCTCCAAACAGGAGCTGGGCATGGCCATGCGCTCCCTGGGTTACATGCCCAGCGAAGTGGAGCTGGCCATCATCATGCAGAGACTGGACATGGATGGTGAGCAGCCACATAAGGTCACACACTTGGGTGCACACACAAAGCAAGAACACACACACACACACACACACATGCTAATACACAGAGTGAATTGCTTCATAAAAGTGTTCCTGTTTAGCATATACTGCATGAGTTATTGTTTGTTTATACTTGTTTATACTTGCAGTTGTTGTGCTTGAGAGATATTTTTACCTTCCAAAGAAGGAAGGAATATATTTGTGTTGAATTATAATTTTATGTTAATGGGAAACACTTTTATATGATGCCAAAAACACACGCTCTGAAATGCTTCAGACAAAAATGGATTTTGAGTTACAGCCTTCTCCAGAATGCCCTTAACAACAGTTTCTAAACTGCTATAATAGCAGCAGCAGGTCGCCAATTGTCAAAAAACGAATTCCAGTTGAGACAATAAAAAGAAAAGAGCATCTTAAACCTTAGCTCTCCTTGTAAAATCACAAAGGATTGCAATTACTCCTATAAGCAGTCCCTGCATCACAAACAAGCTCGTCAATCTTTCAGTTGCCTCTTATCTGCCGGCTCTCGATTCCACTACACACTGTAAATATCAAAGGTCAGCTTTAAAAGCTTTTTGCTTCTGCCTCCATGAGTAGTTTGACCATCCGAGAGCAGTTTGTGTCCGAGGAGAGACAGCCTCTCTTTGAAAGTCATTTACCTGCGAAATCTTTGGTCTCCATGTGATCAGTAATTATCAGCTGTTAAACAACCTGCGACTTATTTTGTAATTTCATTAAGTTACTAAATCCCTTCATCCCTTCTTAAAGCAAAGAAGTCTTACGCTTCATCCTATGGGACTAAAATTTCACAAGTAATCAAGCGATATATTTCCAAGCAGTTTAATTTGGCTTTCGTTGTGTGGATGGGGAAAAAAAAAACCTTGAAAGAACAGATCCTTTTAAATTCAAGGAAATACTTTGTAACTCGTTATTCTACATAAAATGTATTCCTAAATGTTTACAAGTGTCAAATCCATTAGGAGCCTACTGTGACTTGAAAACACTCCAGAACACACAGCGAATAATTATGATGCATATTGAAAGAGTACTAATTCAACACAGTCTCCTAATTACTCCCCAATTATATTTTCCATTCAAGGGAACATCTTGGAAATATTCAAAAATTACAAACCCATGAAATTAAGTGTTTTCCTTCCATCAATGCCAAAGCAGCAGCAGTGAGACGGGTACAGACGACCACTAATACATTTGGAGGCTATTTTGGAGCAAATGAAAAATAACATTAGATAATTCTGTAAAGTGGAGGTTCTTTTTATATTTGCAATATATTAAGTATATTAAGTCAGTGCTATTACTGAAGACACATTGTCGTGCAGATGTTTACTGCACAATAATTCCATGGCACGCTGCCTGTTGATTTCTATCTGCAACAACATGCAGCAGTAGAATACATAACGCTCACACTAACAGGTTGCGTCCTTTGAATCTAAATTTGCAAAATGATCACTGAGTTCCGCGTAAACAATACCTCACAATTGCTCTCACAGACACGCACAGACAGGCACTCGAACAGGTGCACACACCTTATTTTGAAGGTGAAATTGTGCTGCAGACGCACATAAGTTTGACATGGTTGAAGGCACATCCATCTGTTGATCTGTCTCAGGGCTCTTCTTTTTTGTTTTGGCAAGCAAATCAACTTCAGAATAAAATGCATTATTTAACTCCGGTCTGCCACTCTTCCTCCTCTGTGTTGCTGTGCGTGTGTGTATTTGTGCCCACAGGGGACGGCCAGGTGGACTTTGAGGAGTTCATGACAATACTGGGGCCCAAGCTGCTGTCGTCCGACAACAGAGAAGGATTCCTGGGCAACACCATCGACAACATCTTCTGGCAGGTGAAAGACAAAGCTGGAGTCTGGCTCTCATCACTCACATCCTTCTTCATTTATCTGTTGCATCCTTCATGCCTCCTCTTACTCATCCTTTCTCATCGCTGACTGTGCACAGCCCAAGTATAGTTTCTGCAGGGACTCCACAACGGAAAAAAACAGTTTTTTTCTTTCGGCTCAGGGCCTTGAAGGAATAGAGATCTGCTGAGAATTAAGTGTTCCTTTGTGCGAGTATGTGTTTTTAGGTCGAGTGTGGGTATGTTCTTATCCTTCCCATTGTTGCAGAAATGATTACCATAATAAAGATGTGAGGGATACTCCCCTGTATAGGTGATTAAAGCTGAAGCTCATCAGCATGCTTTTGAACGAGCTTTCTCTATTTTCCCAGAATTGATGCAGACAGGAAATGAAATGCTCTCAGTGTTTTATTTTTTCTGCCACTTTGGTAAGACATGAAACAATAATGAAAAGTACAGGGTTATAAAGTGTGTGTGTGTATGCGTGTGTTTTTTTTTGGGGGGGGGGGGGTTTGAGGACGGCTGGTTGAGCAGGGCGACAGCTCGCAGGAAGCTGTTCTCTGCTGTCTTTGACGTGAATGAGAAGTGAATCAATTAGAGAGTGACTCACTGAAATGAGGAGGTGTGTGCGTCCAGGTTACACATATTTGCATGGACCTTCTTTATCCTTGAATTCATTCTGGAAACACTGCGGAAAACATCTTAAATAACAGTCACCTAAGCTTAAACCCCTTAAAGACTTTACGATTTTTCCAAAACTGTGGATTGTTATATCAAGGTCTGTTGTTTCTTAGACATTTGAACATCAAAGTAGAGATGGGGCAAGAAGGACTAAAGCGGGCCAACAGAGTAAGGTTAAGAAAGATGATAGAATTTATTTTTAGGCTCTGTAAACATACTTATTAATATAAATGAAAATGACAGCTGGGGGGCGGGGGGGGTGGGGGGGTGTCACATAAAGATGCAAGAAAATGAAGGAAAACCACAAAGGAAGAGAGAAATAGGAAATGAAAGAAGTACGGGAGACTGAGATTCATGAAGGTCACAGACAGTGTGCGTCTCAGGGGTGATTTTAAATATTCGCCTCCCACAAAGAAATAAACAGAAAACAGGAAGAGGGGATGGAAAAATGTGAGACGTAAGAGGAAAGAGAAAAGCAGGAGAGGAGCAATGAGAGCAGAGAATATAGGAAGAGAGAGGAGGGGGGCTGAAATGGTGGGAGGAAGTGTGTCTCTGAGGACTGTGAGAGCAGCGGCTTGTGTGTGTTTGTGTGTGTGTGTGTGTGTGTGTGTGTGTGTTTGTGTGTTTGTGTGTACGGTGTGTGTGTGTGTTTATATTTCACAGACCTCAGAGGGAGACAGGCAGAGAGGTAGAGTCATTGTGTTAAGAAGCGGAAGATGGAAGAGAGGGAGGCACATCATGGTGGGCCATAATGACTCAGTTCAGTATGTTCAGATAATATCCTTGCATGCTGAGATGTAGAATGATTGACTCCATTGGGGAGGCTGGAGTTTGCATGTTTTGTGTGTAATTATTTTCCTCTGTATGTATTTGTGTTGAATACATTTTCATGTCCTTGTGTTTATAGACCCTTTTAGTCTGAGTCAGGGCACCATTAAAATATCTGAAACATATTTTCTGTTTATTATATACACTAGCAAGGCATACGTAAAACCTCTGGGAGATTTAAAACTCCTGACTCAAGTTTCCACTTTTCTGCTGACAGTCTGTAAATTAGTTTTGAAAAAAGGAAGAACTCGGTCTTCCATTGCAAATTAAGCTCCATCGCCTGAAGATACAAAACAACACAATCTTTTAGCCAATATTATAACAATGTTTACAGTCCATAACAAAGATGTTTCCACTGAGAAACTGCTGCAAAATGGCCTAGTGTTTACAAAAGAGTAAAAATGTTAGTAGGGTTGTTTATCTTTATTATCTTTACTGCAATACCTTTGCAGATTTTTTCTCTAGTTGATGCACCATAGAATGTTAATATTAATGGACGAAGCCTGAGTGATGTCACCTATCTATTAGGGGGCTTTGGAGTCCCATCGATGGTTGTCGCCATGTTGGAAATGAAGTCTCAACCTTTAAGTCAACCTTACAACAGGCTAAGAACTAAGGCAGGTTTTAAACCTCTTGACATTCCACTTCATCGCGCCAACCTATTAATCAAGTCAGCTACCTGCCCTATATAGCTCATCCTTCAAAAAATCAAAAGGTATGAGTTATCAAAAAATGTACCCCCATACAGTATATGCCGATCACACATGAGCTGATCAGACCTTTGTTTTTTTTAACCAGGCTGTAAAAATGTAATTTCTTTGTAAAAAAAAAATAAAATTTTGACTGGGTGTGAATGTGACTTCTGGTGCTTTAAGCCTGAAGCCGACACTTGACAAACTTCAGGATCATCAGCAACATCAGGAGCACTTTTGGAGTTGTTTAATATTGACACTTAAGCAGTAAATGTTCAACTGAGCCACCAGAACATTTAACCTTTTGCACAAGCCTTCTTGAGGAGAAACTTGCCACATTCTGAGCTTGAATAACACACTCTGGGATTGGGTGACTTTATTAGTCAGTGGGGTGGGGCGCTTTTGCAATTTTACAAAAAGTACCCGTTTCAACTAAAAATTCTATTTTGTGACATAAGATTAATTCCAGTGAGATGTCTAGTAAATGGTTAGTATAAAAACACCAAGGACGTTGTCTCACAATTGATGTTACTGCAACTAAGTGCCAGCCCTATCTCCACATTTTGTGAAACTTAGATATAGCTAAATAGTGAAAACGCAAAGCCAATGACAAGGCTTGGCACACTCTTAATTTGCGAACATCCAGTCTGTACTCATTTGTTTAAAAAGTAACGTTAAAAATGTAAAGTCAAAGTCATGCCACGTTTTTAATCAGTTTTCTACCATTTACTTGTTATTGTACTTGACTACCCATTTGTGCATTTGTCAATGAAAGCAGAGTAATATGTAATCTGACAGAAGCAGAGAAAGGCTAGTGGCAGGCTTATCACTGCTGTCTGCATCTGCTGAGACAGTGTGCAATGTTCATAGGATGATCAGTGATGCCAAATATAGTCATTAAAAAAACATGGTGTCTGTGTTACATAAGAACTACCATTTGGTGGATGTTTTCCTTCCAAAGTGCAGTATGTGTATGAGCAGTTATTTTAACACTGGTCTCTGAGAAGTGACTGGGACAGAGCCTGTGGCACATTTTGCTTCAGATTGACAAAATCTGTTGATATTTTTAGGAATCGTCTCTCATAACATCCCCTTCCACTGTGATTGATTCTGTCTCTGTGGGTCTAGTTTATCTATTATTCATTTGTGGATGGTTTTAGTCTCATGCTGTTATTGTACAAATGTAATCTTACCTGTTTTACCTGCAATTTGATACCAAGACGTGTCTTCTATGAGGATATAATTTTGTGTGCTTAAAGGGTACAAACGCATATCTTTCTGTATAAATTCACTTGAATGGTGCAGAAAAAAAGACTATGCTTGTAGTTTGTCACTCTGGGTGACTCTTTGGAGAAGGGTCAGAAGACGAAACGAGCGTCTGCTGTACGAGGGCAGGTGGGATTAGACAGGAGGGACAGTGTGTGAGCACCTGTTCTTCTGATTGATGTGTCCTGGCTCCTTCAGTATCTCACCGGTCACTGAACACAATCTCATGCTGTTTTCCTGTCACACGCACACTCATCGGCACGCACATAGACACACATTATATGTTTGAATTAATTCAGTGAAAGACAAAAAACTCTGACAGGAAAAAACTCCTGAATTGTTGCGTCAAGTGTGTGTGTGTGTGTGTGTGTGTGTGTGTGTGTGTGTGTGTGTGTGTGTGTGTGTGTGTGTGTGTGTGTGTGTGTGTGTGTGTGTGTGTGTGTGTGTGTGTTGATATCTGTGTCCTTCAGAGACCGGGCAGGAGGAGAAATCTCATCACTCTCTAGGTTTCTAACAGGTTATGGCTCCGCTGTGGCTTTCCTCCCCTCAGACAGACAGACAGACAGGAACATTGTTATTTCTTCGTGCTGCTGTTCTGAGCTGTCATGTTGTCTGTCCTGCAGCTGGAGTCCAACAAGTTTTTTTATCCTCCAATTCCCAGAATCCATTCAAAGCAGAGACAGCTTTGGCAAGAAGGCAGAATCAGGCCCTCCAACTACTGCCACTCCCTGTCCCTCTGGCCTAGAGTGCCCAACAAGGTCGTATGAGTCAGAACAGTAGAACTTTAAATATGAAGTAACAGTAAAACTTAAAGTAAGAAGTTAAATGACATGTTTAAAACAAGCGTTAAAGACAAAAAAGTACACATTGTTGAAAATGTAGGGCTGCTTTGCACAACATTTGCAAACTAATTTTAAACAGAATCTGAACATATTAGTAAGCTTAATCTTTTAAAGTATTTTTTGCTATTTAAAAGGAACCGAGAGTAAAAGTAAGGCCCTTCAAAAAGAAAAAAGGCAGAGATTTAATACACAGTCTAGATCAGTGCAGGTAAACAGTCTGTTGAGATTTCATGTCTGCCTTGATTTATGGAGTTAGATCAGTCTCAGTTTTCACAAATGCACACATAAGGATTCACAAATGTATTTCAATGCACACACAAATATATTTAATTCTATATAAATGTAAAACAAATCCACAAATAAAAAAACAAGATTCACAAATGTAGGAGACATCTGATTGGCTACAGACATTACCCTGCTGAACAAAATGCATTTGTGACTCTAACCACGGCAGGGGAGTCTCAAAAGTCCCACACACAAGTGCAGTGAGGTTCACAAATGACAAACAGTTTGTAAATGCAGACTGACCAGTTTATATATTTGTGGATTTCTATTACATATATACAAAACTATAAATATTTGTGTGTGAATCAGAAATACATTTTTGAATCTTGTTTTTTTATTTGTTTTTGTTTTGTTTTTGATTATTTGATTTGTTTTACATTTATATAGAATTAAATATATTTGTGTGTGCATTGAAATACATTTGTGAATCCTTGTGTGTGCATTTGTGAAAATTGAGACTGATCTAACTCCATATTGATTCCCTGAGCTCAAGCAGGCGCACCAAACACACCTGTGCTGGCTGCAGCAATCAGCCACAGGTGAATCCACTCACCCAAATCAGGTCTCTCAGGAACAGGATGAGAGCCCATATTGCTCAGTTTGCTCTCCATCTGACAAGACCTGTTTCCATCTTTCTTTGCTTAGTGCATCCACAATTGAGTTATTGTTTAAGTTAATGAGTTTGGTGATTCAGTTTGTTTGTCATGCTTTGGCACACTTGATGTATTGTTTAATTAATACGTCCTAATTTTAAGGATAAATGTGTGCTTGTTTAGAATTCTTTAGATTTCTGTTAACAAGGAAAACAATTAATTGTCATACTTTATTGCTCTTGAACAGAAAACAATACTTGACAAATAAAGGTGAAATTGTTTGGAATAAAGAACCTTACAGTGGAAACCTCTTCTACTACCCTTCATTAACTTGCCCCTCATCTAAACTGTTTGTCAATTAGCCTCAGCATTTAAGTTACACCTCAAACACAGGCAGTGGTGCAAACCAATCCAAAGGGGCCAGCAAAAGGCAAAAAAAACACAAGTCAAGCAATGGTTAAAAATCACTAGGAACAAGGGAACACACAACTAACAAACAACTTCAGGGAGGACACACAGGGATTATATACACAGACAATCAGGGGATAACGAGACACAGGTGAGCACAATCAGGGCAGGAGCATACAAGGTGGGAAAACAAGAGGAGCAGGATCTGGAAGACAGAGACTAGGGTGGGAACAAAATAAAGCAGGAAATAACAATACTGAAATGAAAATGGACAAAAACATAACCAATGTGCTCGATGGGCCTTGTCAATAATGTTGATTCATGGTATTTGTGGTGATGCATCAAAGTATTGTTGTGTGTGTGTGTGTTTGGGGATGTCTGGTATCTGTGTGGGGGTGTGTGGGGGTGTGTGTGTGGGTGAGTGGTTTGACAGTAGACCAGACTTTATTATTTTTATTTATGGTTGATTATTAATATAATTGTGTCCTTCTATATTTATTTTACATTTACTTCAATGTTGTTCAAAGTTTTCTATTTAAGTTGTGTGTTTGTTTTTTTTCATTTAGGCTGCCTTTTGTGGTTTACAACCAGCCTGATTGGTTAGATTGGAATCTTTGCACATTTGTTTAGCCCTTTATGTGTGCATCAGTGTGCAGATTCAGACATGTGTATACAAATAAATGACTCAATATTTAATAACATTAAAATGTCTGCTTGTTACTTTTTGGATAGTATCTGAAAAAAAATCGCTGGGTGTTTAATGTTGGACAATTTGTTATCTTAGAGCAGTGACTGTCTGGAGTGTCTAGTGTCTGGTAACTCCACAGTAACCCATAAAACATCCCTTTACACTTTTTTTACATAGATTATCCGCAACAGCTTAATATTGGTGTCTTATTGTGTGATTTGACTTGACACTGCGGTGATGCACACCTTCAGACACACACACACCCTCTGTTTAGCCCTGCTGGCTCCAACCTTACGCATTGCCACCGTCTCACCCCGGTTATGCCCCATTACTACCTCCAATTCCTGCTCGGGGGCATAACAACTTCATTGCACCATTATGCCTGCGTGTGTTACACATTGCAGACAAGGCGTAACAGGACCATAAGTTCATATTTTAACTTGGGTTCAGGAGAAGGAACAAACCAAGCACACTTTAAATCACCTGACAAGCCTACCTATACCTACTATGTTTGTCTCAGTTCTTCGACCCACCTCCCTTCCTTTCCTCTCATTCATCCATCCACCCTCCTTCCTCACCCCTTGATCTTGTTTGTCTAATTTTAAGCACAGTCTGGGCTGTGATCAGCTCGGCAGAATTATGCCTGAGACTGAACCCCCATCCTAAGTCTCCCTCTGCCTGGCATTCAGTGCAACCTCTCAGACCAGCCAACTGACAATATCCTCTTCCACCATAATCATTATGTCAACATACATTCATCTGTCTCAGCATTCATATAATCATAAAATATCTAAAACACATATTGTTGTGTGTTGTGGTGTGGTCCTTGCTAGTGAACCCGCCTTCAACTGGATGTATGAGAGGCAAGACTCCAGAAAGTCACGGCTACTTCAGCCTATAGACCCAGTAGGCTACAAGTACTGTTTTTTTTTTTAATTTGTTTTTTATATAAACAAACATGATGTTAGGTGTTTTCTAGCTAGCTTTGTGATGCTGTTAGACAGTTACTGATGGCTACATTTTTCCCCTTGTTTCAAGTCTTTATGCTAACTTATGCTAATTGATTTCTTGCTTTAGCTACATTAATGGACATAAATGTGAATAGTTAAAAAAAAAAATCTTTGATTAATAATATTGTACACAAATGTGTGTCTCTCAATATTAAAGTAAACAAAAAAAGTGACCTCAATATTGTTTTGTTTATTGATGGTCACACTTTGGCTGGTATGGTACCCAGTCTTTAGTTCTTTTCAGTAAACAATCTGTTGCGTTACTCAAGGTGGTCAAACATGAAAGATGCTGTCATTAGCATTTAGTGTGCATTGTAATGAGGCATGAAGCAGGATTTTTGTTTCCTGGTTGAAATGAGCATCTCCTCTTCACCATCACCATCACCAGTCGTTTATGTCTCTTCAATTGTCTGCCAGTTCTGTTTCCTCCATCTGTGTCTCACACTACTTTTCCATCTCAGTATGCTCTGACCTCAACTCTCTTTCTTATTTTTCTAATCTCTCAGAATCTCTATCCTCCTCTCTAGATCAAACCCTTTATTTTCCTCCTCTCTGCCTAGTCGGCCTCAGTATGTCCATCTGTTATACCAAACAAGCAACTGATTGTATTTGCGGCTGTCGTGAAGTTAATAATCTAGAGGTTGCATGTTTTTCAATGTATTGTGAGGGAGTCTGCTGCAAACGAGAAAGATGTGATGTTTTGGGAAGGTTGGACGGGGAATAGAAGAATTTAAATCAGTGATTTGTGTGAGCCCCATAAATCCTTTTAAACACAAACCTGAACACACAACTTAGAATGTAACCACCTACAAGGAAGTAATTGAGGAGGTATCAAGGCATGCACAGGTTTGCATACTGATTCAGGCAACCAAAAATAGCACCAGTTATGCACAGCCAAACATGCTGCTATTACAAACAACACCTTCCCTACTTGCATGCTGTACCTGCACATTAGACATTCAGGCAATAAAATAGAAATTCAAACATGCCATCATTTCTTGCAGCTTGTGCATTTCACACCTCATTCTTATCTTCTATATTTATCTTGACTCATAAAACCGGTCTGTGGATGACTGTCTTTCTGCATTGATTGCTGTGTGCCCCTGCAGTTTGACATGCAGCAGCTGTCTCTGGATGAGCTGAAGCAGGTGCTGTTCCACGCCTTCCGGGACCACCTGACAATGAAGGACATAGAGAACATCATCATCACAGAGGAGGAGAGCCTCAATGAAACCTCAGGGAACTGCCCCGAGTATGAGGGAGGTGAGGAGACTGTCCTTTATCTTATAAATACCCATAATCATACTAAAGTAATACTAGAGTAATTTAAAACTGTAATTAATATGATAAAAATAACTTTATTTTATTAGAAAGTCACATTTAGATTGAATCCTCTTTCACAGATGAGACTAAGGTAAAAGCAGCATGAAACCCATAGACACCAGACACCAAGATGTTTTAACAATAACGTGTATAACAAATAAATAACATAATACACAATCATGATAACACTATTCAACCCGACCAAAGTTATCTTCTACAGAGAAGCGACACTTCCCTAAATACAACTAAGCTTCATTTAAATACTACAGCCTAATTCACTAAGGAATATTATGACAATTTGGGGTAATACACTTGTTTGCCTGTAATTATTCTCATTCGTTTTTCTCACGAGTACACATTCACAACTGTACCAAATACTCCAAAATAGGAAATAAAATACTTATATATGTTCATTACTAGGTATTAAATACCATAAATAAAGATTAGCAGCAAAACTACAGAAAAAAAAGAAAAGAAAGAAAAGAAAGAAAGAAAAAGAGAGAGTTTCAATTAGGCAACATTCTACAATTCACTTAGCAGACGCTTTTATCCAAAGCGACGTACATCAGAGAGTAAGAACAACACAAGCAAGGATCTAGAAAAAAGGGAACAATGTCAGTAAGAGCAAACGATCAGCTTTGAGTCCGATTGGACACACAGGTGCTGACAGGCATTGCACAGAGGCAAAGCACAACATTGACGGCAGTTCTTGAGAGCTCTAATCAGTATAGAAACCATCTTAAAAGTTGTCGTTATCAAACAAAAACCATCATCATTACCATCATTATCATCATCAATAATATCGAGACCATCGTCATTAAATTGGTAGGTATTCATGAAAGAGCTGGGTCTTTAGCTTTTTCTCAAAGGTGCAGAGGGACTCTGCAGATCGAATGGAGTTTGGAAGTTCATTCCACCACCGGGGGGCAACAGAGGAGAAGAGTCTAGTCAGAGACTTAGGACCCTGTTGTGAAGGTTGGGTCAGATGCCTTTCATTGGCAGAGCGTAGTGGGCAGGAGGGAGTGCAGACTTGGATGAGAGAGTTAAAGTAAGGAGAAGCCGTTTTTGTCGCTGTTTTGTAAGCGAGTAGCAGAGTTTTAAATTTGATATGAGCAGTAACTGGGAGCCAGTGTATGTGCTCTTTTAGGAAGGTTGAAGGCCAGTCTTGCTGTTCGATTTTGCATCATCTGCAGGGGTTTGATAGTACATGTAGGAAGACCTGCCAGTAGAGAGTTGCAATAGTCGATGCGTGATATCACAAGAGCCTGTACCAGGAGCTGTGTAGCATGTTCTGACAGGTAAGGTCTGATCTTCCTGATGCTGTACAGGGCAAATCGACATGACCAGGCAATCGAGGCTACTTGAACCTTAAAAGTTAGCTGGTCATCAATCATGACACCCAGGTTCCGGGCAGACTTTGTGGGCATGAGTTTGATTGTTCCAAGCTGGATATTGATCTGTGGTTGCATAGAGGGACTGGCTGGGATGACAAGGAGCTCAGTCTTTGAAAGATTGAGTTTAAGGTGGCGTTCATTCATCCATTTAGAGATATCAGCAAGGCATGACAAGATTCTTGCTGAGACTGAAACATTGTTTGGCGGGAATGACAGGAAGAGCTGGGTATCGTCAGCATAGCAGTGGTATGAGAAGCCATGAGAGCGGATTATTGAACCAAGTGAGCTTGTGTATATGGAGAAGAGAAGGTGACCAAGCACTGACCCTTGAGGTACCCCTGTGGATAAGCTGTGCACTTTGGACACTTCTCCCTTCCATGACACTTTAAAGGATCATGCAGAGAGAACGTAACATGAGAGGGAGAGATGCCACGCTGAATGTCCGCACATGACAAGTATTGACAGAAATAAATAAAATTTCTGCCTGTAGTAAGACTCGTAAATATGTATCATTGTCTTTATACAGACATCCATCTTACATACAGTTCATATAGCATGGGTTAAGAGCCAAGAGGATAGCTTAAATGAATGAGTGGAATCTGGCCTAAACAAGCCTGTTTCTGGACTTCTGAATAACCACACTCTACACTCATTGGCTTGGTGTTGTGCTGATGAAAATGTTTTTTTTATTTGTTTTTTATACGAGACAATCGAAAAATCAGACCAGCTTGGAGGATTAAGGAAAGTGATGTTTAATTGCCAGTTTGATAGCTACATTAAAAAAAACATGAGAGGCAGGCCAGGGGGGTTGGGGGGGATCCACCTTCTCTGAAATAAGATAAGTTCGAACATGTTTCTAATCAAGCCTAGAAAACGCATCACCAACATTTCTTTTGTTTGTTTGTTTATTTAATTAATGCTGAACTACTTGACGACATGTGGCCCGTTGTCTTGATTTCCTATTTCTGCTTGTTGCCTGGCAACCTTATGGGGATAAGAACACAGTTATAAACAGCACATACTGTAAAACCAGAAATGTAAGATTTACAAACCAGGTGTAATGTGTTAAGTTGTGGGCTTGAGGTAAAGGTGTGTTTATGAATTCTTAATAATTCTTAATGGTCAGCCAGCTAGCTCTTTCCCCCGTAGGCCTAACCAGTTTTTGTCAGACTAAAACAGTGGTGTCATGGTTGCAGCGCCATAATTGTGGCATTATTACGAGATGTGTATCAATCTTCTCTTTTGACGCCTAGCAAGATCACCATTAAGCATGTTTCCTAGATTTTTTAATTCTGCTTTAAACTAATTTGTTTATAGACAGTCAAATTCACTCCAGCTGTTCATGCTACACATTTTGTCATGGTAATGCTACAGTGTTATAGGGTCTTATTAAAACGTACTTTAGGAAACTACAAGTCAACATAGGGGTCAATAGATAAACTAAAGAAAATATTTTAAGGGAAAGAGAAGAGAGAGCCCGTAGACTGAAGTAAACCTGTTCTGAAGTCTTTGTACAGTTGTGAAATGACAAGGTGTTGGGGTTTCTTTGAAACACTAGCACTTCAGCCGAGAAGTTTTTTCTGTATCATGGCTATCTAATAAAAAAAAGCTCAAGTGTGCTGAGGCAGTAGAAAACAGATGTAATGTTTGAATGATAATTCAAATTATATTTAAAGGTCAAGGTAATGCCTAAATTCCAATGAGTCTTAAATCAAGTAACGGGAATGTTGTTTTGTTGCTGAAGTTAAACTGACAAATTAAAACACAAAGACATTATTATTTTATTATGTCTGAGGGAGCAATGAGAATCAAACACCTGTATCTTACCCTGTGTTTATGGTCTGAAGCTATATGGCCTTGTGATGCAAAATATCAAAGGCTGACTAGGACAAAGGTGAAGAAGGATCAAATGTTAGAGTAAACTCAGACAGTCTTAATAAATCTGCTGTGACCTGGTCTACAGTCTCGGTGAGACCGAGAGAGAGAGAGAGAAGAGAGAGAGAGAGAGAGAGAGAGAGAGAGAAAGCCATGAGGAAATGGTGAAACTAAGCAAAGAAGGAACAGTGAAGAGGGAGATAAAAGGCTAAAAAAGGGATCAGGAAACTGCACGCCTGGCATTCCCTGTTACTAAGTTCTTGTGTTGAAGGAAGGGCGAGACATGGAGTTAGAGAGCCAAAAGACAACAGTAAAAAGAGGAGCAGTAAGCTAGGCAGGGGGAAAATAAAGAAAGATGAAGAGAAAACAGGAAGATGTGAAGAGAGACTTAAAAACCTAAAAGAAAAAACGTGTCTCTCCACATTTAACCCTCTTCCCACATCCTCAACTCGCCTCTTTCGTGCCTGCTTCTTCCCAATCTTCTTCCTGTCCGATGGGACTCCAGCGCCTTTTAACCATTATCTCTCTCTCTCTCTCTTAGATCCATGACTCAGAGCTCTGACTTGATTTATTGATGCGGTGTATGATTCTTACAAACTGAGACAGGGGGGCTGACAGAGAGGGAACTTTTAGTTGTAGCTCTTTCTGCAAGGCCTGTTGGAGGACACATCTGTCTCTACTCCTCTTCTTCTTTTAATAGAGAGTATGTCTTGGGGGGTAGAAGGTCTCACACCTAGAATTGTACCTTTGAAAACATGACGCAGACATTTACCAAGACAAACTTTACATTTCAGTAAGTGCAAGAACAATTTACGTTACAAATTTAATTGTATTCAAACAGGGAAAACCTCTAAAAATCTAATTTACAAGAGTGGCAAAGACAGGCAGCAGCAAGTTCAAGAGTTTTATCCAATATTATCATACAAATGCCTGTGCAATAAAAAAGGAGCATGTCTTGGATGTGATTAGCCTAGCTCACTAATGAGACTAGAAACAATAAAAAATGTCTCCCCCTGGTCAGGACAAACAATCTGAAAATCAAATCTTTCCATCAAATAACTACTTATCACTACAAATCACTCACTAATGCTTTTTCATAGTGTATTGTGAGACAAGTTCTTGACTGGGAGCAGTGACCCTGTAGTATGAATGTGCAAGATATTTAAAAAAAAAGAAAAGTGAGCAATGATGAAGCCTTTGCAAAGAGCCAGGCTAGCTGATTCATTTTGCTACCAGTAGTTACTTACAGTTCCAACTTTACCTCTTCACAGACATGTGGGTAAAATGTTTAACGACAAAGTAATTAAGTGATCACTAACACATGAAATGTTAAAAGAACATTTTTTTCTCTTCTTTCAGTCCATCCTAAGAAGAAGAACCGTCAGACGTGTGTGAGGAAAAGCCTGATCTGCGCCTTTGCTATGGCTTTCATCATCAGTGTCATGCTAATCGCAGCCAATCAGATGCTGCGAAATGGCATGGAGTAACCACTTGCACTGTGAGCATGGGGAGTGGACAGAACAGCCATGACCTCACATCTTTCTTGTCTTTACAGCCAAAGCTGGACCAGCCACAGACCAAGCACTTCTCTAAACAATTGATGTATTTTCGTTCTCTATGATTTAAGTTCAACTTTCCTTGTAGAAGCAGACAATGTGATTTAATGACGATATATGTTTATTCAGCATTAAAGATGTCACCATGTAATGTTACTGGACTTTCTGACACCTGAACTGGAAAAGTATTATGTTTTATATATTTATTGTTAGGTGAGTAGTATGATTTCTTCTGTTGTTTTTAATACCAAGACCAACCTTTAAACCTTATTTTCTTATTACCCAATATATTTTTCAGGTGCTTTGAGCCATTCTAATAAAAAAAAAGAAAGTAATATTTCTAATAGTTAGTCTGTAAAAGTATCTACATATTAACCCCAAGAGAAGTTGCGTTGAATGTGACCTGAGTGAATGTGGGCACTGAATGTCAGCACAGTATTAAAATGTCTATTACCAGTAAATCCCTCACCTCTCATGTGTTCAGGTAATAAATCACACTCTTTGTAAAACATCCACATCATAGAGTTCTCATATCTTACTGCACTTTTAGTCTTTGTTTGTATTTACAAGGAGCACAAGTTAATACCCAGTGAGGGGCCACTGATCAATCACACGTGTCCCACTAACTCTACTGTTAAGTCTTGTGACTTAAAGGTTTAGTGATTCATTGGCTGATGTGTTAAAGACAGTGCTTTGTAAATGTGAGAAGGTTGAAAAATAGACATCTAATGACAAAGAAGCTATGGTTTTGTTGAAAAACAACGGGACCAGGCTGTAATAGAGTATGTTTAATAATGCACTGTTTCACAACTACATGTTTCAGCATATCATTGTTATACTGCCCAGCTTTGGTGGACAAAAACCATACAAAAGCATGCAGTATTTACACTGCCATAACAAACATGTCTTCATTTTTCATGGATTTATTGTTACATATAGTAGGCTACTGCTAAGCTTGTGTATTGTATTATTATATCAACAGCAGAATGTATGAGGGGTAGAAACTTGTGAGATAAATCAGGGATATACAGCAGAGCTGTGATATACTGTTGACACAGCTGTTTTCCTAGAAAAGGCTGCTGTCTAGTGATCAAAATAGGAACTGCAGCTAAAGGCCTGAACAACACTGTTTTCAAGGTGTTCAGAGGTGAGCTTTGATATGTCTTATGTCTGTGGCAGTATTGTCTGTATTTGTGTTACTTCAACTGTTGTAGTTTCTGGGGTAATAACTGTTTAGTGGTCCGTCCTGATAGCACTGAAATGGAACAAACCTATTTGGGAAGAAAATTTGTAGGGGCTTACAATAATGCTCCACTTCCTCTAATGCACCACAGATTCAATGTTAGTATGAAAATGTGTTGTTTCATGAGGGTGTAGAGCTGGGTGATAAAGACATGTCTCAGTTTCTCTTCTTTCATTGTTAGTTCATTTCCAATCTTTGGGTTGTTTCTTTTACTTTTAAAGAGTCAGGGCAGGTAAGTAGAGTAAACACAACTATTTTTTTATGAACGGAGGTCATTGATATATGTTTCTTTTATATTGTGACATTTATTCCACCATTAGCGTATAGATGCCTTTTAAAAGTCACCTGTTGATGTTCAATGAATTCTTTCATCGTTGTATCCCATTAAATCAGCATATGTGGATTCTTAAAGTGCATGGTGCTCCCCTTGAAAATTATTTATTTATTCATGTGTTTTGCAGGATGGATTAAAAGCGAAACTGGATATTTCAATCAAACAAAATGTGAAAATAAGTGAGTTTATATGCTGTTAGAGTAAATAGTAAAGAGGACTTTAAGAGGAGAGGGGTTCGTTAAACAAAAAAAACAAAAAAAGCTTTGCCTGATCAAGTATCACAGCAAAATGTATTATACTGTATATCAGTATGCATGTCGTTGTTTCGATTTTCACGTCTTTGATAGACGGGGAAATCAATTTAACCTTTCTTTGTGGTGGCACAGCCTTGGTTCTAATGTATGTACTACTGTAACATATTTGACTCTCCAGTTTATACTGTAATAGCCATTTTTCTAGTTTCTACCAGCTATTAATCAAATCAGAGTGCAGGAGAGGGCATTTTCATAAATATGCAAATTCAAGGTCACACCATCAACGTCATCATCTTCTTCACTGTTTCACGTCATCTTTGGGTTGAGTCTCTATGGGTCTTTTCTGTGGACAGTTTAAATGATGTTTTATTCACTACTTTTCTATGGAATGTTCTCACTGTCTCATTGTCCAGTATAAACTGCTGTATAATGTATGCTACACTTATCCTTGTAAGTCACTCTATGTCTTTGATATTCTCAGCACACTGACCGGTGGACCATGTTTTCACCTTTGTCTATAAGAGTCATGGTCCTTTTGAAACCAGCATAGACCACTTATCTTAACAGTCCTCTAATAAGTGTGCCATTTAGACATCCTTGCATGGTAATGTGAGGGGAGGAATCATGTCAAATACCTTTTACCAACACTTTTGAAGTTTACATCATTACACTGTACATCTGTAACAGGACGGTTCAGATCATGACTTTGATGGTTTTGAGAGTTGCTTTTGAGATTTGTTTGAAACCAAACACGTTTTTACCTTGTAGATTGTATAGAGATAAAGACGAAACACAAATATTATGTAATACCACCTTGGCATGCTGCTTAGAAAAAGGAGAAAGAAAACAGCAATAGTCACCCACTGAATGGATATTTAAAAATGCAAATAATGAGTTCAATCTGTTTAATCAAAAAAATTATATCCATATATGTTTATGCAATAAAATATTGTTTTGATAAAAAAAACTTAAGGAATTTGTGTTTGCTTGTGTAAGGTGTTTGTTCTTTGGCGTGATGTCAACATGTACAATACAAAAATGATGATACAATGCTCCCCAGCATCATGAGAAGGTTTTACCTTCTTATATAAGCCACCTAAATTACACATGCCATTCAGTTCTCGGAGGCAGTTGAGCAGTTTTTTTCTCTAGTTAAAGTTGGCTTGTTGCTGTACTTGTCACTTGTTATCATAATCATAGTGTCATCTAAAATACCAACCCCAAAAATAGAATGACAGCTCAGCATGTTTTCACTGAGCATCCCTGCTGTTTCTTCTTGTCAGTAGAAATAAAGGAGATCATTGCTCTGACGTTTATTTATTTCACGTTTCTTTGTATAGGGACAAGTACAGAGCAAGGAAACTGTTGCCACACACTCCAGCATTTCAAGCCTAAGCTAATTTACAATGCTCGTCCCTAGATAGGCATTGAACAACAGATACAAACACACCACTAAAAGACAGAACAATAAATGATACAAACTATCATACAACAAGACCAAGTAAAACAGGACCAACAAGATCATACGTGACCACAACACTGAGGCCTCTTAAAGGAGATCTATTATGCTGGATCCAGTTTGAGATCTTCAGGTAAAAGCATTCCTCATGATGATCCCTTGGACAGAAAAGGCTGTTTAACCGAGTGAAGATTTACAAAAATGACACCTTACTCACAGTCTCCTTTAGATGCTCCACGTGTTACAGAGCCTGATAATCTATGTGGAACCACAAGGTCACAGAGCACCTGAGGAGTCTGAAGATTTAAACATTTATCAAGTTAAAGAGTGGAGAATGTAAAACTACTATGAAAACTTTATTTAAGTTTTTAAAAACATGAAAAAGTTGTGAACATATTAGCCTCCTGTCCGAGATTTGAATTGCTCTGTTGTATCATCAATGGACAGAGTGCACACAAAGATTAACCTCGCAGCTTTCCATCTTGAAACTATTCTTCGGCCTTATGATGGCCTAAGTTGAATTTACATGTTTGTCAACTTGTTTCAGAAAGGAGCTCCTTGTGGAGCAGCACCGGCATCCCTTTAAATCACGATAATGAGGGAGCATAGGTCAAATACAAGTGAGAACAACCCCAGAACAGATGCACCTGAACCCCATTAACCTTCAGATAATGACCCAGAACACGCCATTAAGTGGACAAACAAGGCATTTCGCAAAGTTTAATGGTCCAGGTCCGGTATTAACAAAATTAACCTTTAGTCTGTTTTCATGTTTGGGGGTGAACTTTAACTTTATAACGACTCCCCTTTAAGTAGGGACAGAAGACATTTAAACTTTTAAACTTTAGCCTGAGTTGCATATATCATATATCAAACTGTATTGTGGGCTCATGTTTATTTGTATGGGTGGGATATGTATGTATATATGTGTTGTGTTGTGTGTTTGTATGTATGCTGACTGCTGGAACACCTAAATTTCCCTGCTGGGATGAATAAAGTATATCTTATCTTATCTTTATCTTTAAAATGAAGGGGTTAAACTTTACAGGGTCACTCCAAATCATGTGATTACTGTATGACTTGATCAAGGCAAGAGACACATAAAAAACAAGCGGCGCTTTGTCTCCACCAGTGGTTCTCAACTATTCTAGCTTCATGGCCCACCACCAACTCCTTGATGAGAAACCTAACCCTCTAACATTTTTCCACCACGCAGAAGAAAAAGGCCATATGTATCGAAGATGTGGATGTGTATCTGAAGACATGTTTTTAAAAAGCATCGTAGACTTTTTGTAAAAGCTTTTTTTCCAGGCACACATTTGTGACGGTCCTGACTCACCAGCTGAGAACCATTGGTCCAACCTGTAGTGCACTGTTGTTTAGGTTTTATCTCAATTTTTGCTGTTAATGGAAATTGTAGAATCAGAAGAGTTACTTGTAGCATCAGGGATTTATGTCAGGTGATGATGTAGAAAGGACTAAAAATATAAACTGAACAGTATCAACTACATGCAGAAGTGGAAATCAACAAAGGAAGCAACACTTGCACATGCGTAAAAAATCTTTTAATATGAGGTATTCATTGCATGTTTGTTCGCTGATATGAACCCTGGAACACAGAGTCGATGTAACACAATGTATGCAAAACTCTGTACTTTCTCCCAGCACCACCAGGAAACTGATCAAACATTAACACAAGGTTTCCAGTTCAGTTATGTACATTGGTAGAATATGCGTCAGTGAGTGTGGGATTATTTGTATGCAACACTGAATAAGACTCAGAAGAAAATAAAATAAAAACCATAGTAACACTGCTCATTCATTAAGTAGCGCTTACAAAGACCATCAAAATACACTGAAATTCTTATGTTTCAAAAAGTTCAAAAAGCTCCACTATTTAAACATCTACGACTTCTTTAGAAATGATAAAAGGCACAAGTGCAACACTTTTTTTTCTTTAAATCCAACAAAACACAAAATGATTAACTTGATGATGTACTGAGTTGAAAGACGTGCCCTGCCTTCTGTCTTTTCAACAATTAACTAAAGCAGAGATGAACCTCTCCTCTTGGATGTAAATTCTCACTAAATGCAATACAGATTAGTCTTCACACCCAAAACAACTTCCAATACGTTAAATGTCTCATACTTGTAAAGAACAACTGTGACCCTATTGTGATAGTGTTACCTCATCGAGTAGAGCAGCAGGATCTTTGAAGATTCAAGTAATGTTTCTTAAAACACGCTCAATGCTATAGAGGTTGGTAAGGATTGTGAAATCATAGACATGTACACTGATTCATGACAGACGTTGGCACAGTCTAGGTGTAATGAGAGAGAAAAAAAAGAGTCAAGAGTGGGGGAGGAAATTTGTAAATGCAAGTGCATGTGTAAATCAGAGGTACATCAGGAGCAGAAAGAGGCTGAAAAAGAAAATGAGAGACAGCAGAGAGGAGGAGTCAAGGTCAGAACTCTGTGTGCAGGTGAGTATAGTCTCGGCTGCCTGCGGGGCTCTCACTGGGCTTCATAAAGATGCCCTCCATGGCCTTCCACAGGCTGTGCTGGCTGGGGCTCGCCATGGCATGAACTTCCCTCTGACCGTGGATCGGCCGTCCGTACTGCTCCCCCGTCACTGAAAGTAATGCGTCCGTGGCCTTGTGACGGAAACGGACAGCCTCCTCCCGCTTCCATACGGATCCCCCGCACTGAACTGTCCACTCGTCCAGGTGGTCTCCTTCCCCTTCGTCACCAAATGCACTCACTTCCTGTGGACAATAATATAATAAGAACAACTTTATTTATAATGGACCCAACATCTAAATACATGGCATAAAAACAAGCAACAAAACTAAAGACAGTTATACAACAAGTGAAAAATCCACAGTAAGACAGATTTAATAAAAGTAATGAAAAAGGGTGAACTGTGTTTTCACACCTCATTCATTGAAGCGCTTTTCTTTGACCTGAGGCTGTTTTCACAGAGAGTTTTTCCTAAAGTGTAAAAGCCACTCATGTCCAGCTCAAAATGTCAGTCTGCATTTATCAAAGTGAAAGTCAACACACTTATCGGTCTTGAAGCAAACAGTCACATTTAGCTGGGGCAGAGTGACATGGCCAAGAAATAAAATATCTGATTTTTTCACACCAGACTATATTGACGATTTTTATCAGGTTTTCTTCCCCTTAAAAACACAAAACTATATTTGATGTTGAGCCTTGTTGTAGCATTTGATTCACTTTTATGATAAGCCTTAAGCCTATTGAAAGATACACCTTATACTTATACTATGCCCTCTAATTCATATGAGCTTTCACTTTTCTTGATAGATTTTTAGCTGCTCTATCTGCTAATCTGTCTCTATGCTGTGTAGAAAGATGAGCCTTGCACGTAAAATACTGTCAAAAATGTCATAAATACATGCACGGCATCCTGGAAAAAAGCAGGGAAACAACCACCGTCAAAAGGAATAAATACAAAGCCATAGAAATTTAAGAGGAGGATATGATTTCTACTTCAGAAGTTATGGACATAAAAGACCACTTGCAAATTTTTACAAATTACACGAGGTCCCCAGATATCACAAGACCTGTTAGGGTTTAAAAATGTAAATGTAAAACATATCTCCTTCTGCCCCTCACACAACAGGAAAAACCTCTTCTTCTTTCACGTTATCCTCACACCACCCACCTGGTTAGAGGACAGTGGAGAGGCAAAGAAGTGGCTGTGAAGGTTACGGCCTGTGTTAACATGAGTTAGACGGATCTCCTGCCCGCACTGGATCGGGGTACCGCGATGGCACCAGGTGTCCCTTGTTCCTCGAATACTCCAGTAGCTGTTACTGTCTTCCACTGCAGTCACTCCGGTTACAGATTGCTGACCGCTGCCTGTATCGCACAAAAACACATGCAAAACAGTGAGCAAAGGACTGTTGAAGAGAAGAGAGAAAAAAAAGCAGGAGAGGGAACAACTGTGAAACAAAATGTTATGCTTTACAAAGACAATATCATACATCAAAGTAGATTATTAATGTCTGCCAAATCTGAGGCCTAAAGCTGTTTTGGTCATATGGTTTGTTCATGGTATTAAAGTCTGTAAAAACAATTAAAGACTACAATCAGTGATTGTTATGTTGGATTTAACTTTGAACCAAATGGTTTATGTTGGCAAACCAACAGCAAACTTGTTTTATGTCAAGGTGACACACAGTGTAGGTGGTGCAACAAATTCATATCAACAGAGTCCCTACAATAAAATGTAAAATCCCCTCTGTAGAGTTGTGTTGAAAAGCGCATAACAACCTGAAGAATGTGGTACATTATTGATATAATACACCAACATAATTTGATCTCAGTCCTTTTTTCTTTTTTTTTTTTTACTGCCCCACTTAAATAGTGGTAGCCGGATTTTGATTTCTAGGCTGGTAAACCGAAACATGTTTTCTAGGCAACATGTGAATAATATTTATTTGGCCACGCAGTTTAGAATTACACTTGGGTAGAAATTGCTCAAAATATGTCACCTTACCACATTAACATAGTATCATAAATGTTGTGGCAGCGCTTTAATACACTAAGTAAAGGAGTCAACATGAAATATCAAATTGATAACATTTGTACATAGAAATAACCAACTTCCATTATTCTTTTTCCCTGAAATAATTTAAGTTACAGGGGTTGATCACTGGCAGATGAATACATGATGTTTACTACAGCTTAATAATCCATTTAATGAAAGACAACTCACCGGAACCGTAGCGTACGTCATGCGAGTGTAGTCTCACATTGTGCTTAATATTTAATAGTTTAATGACTGATCCGCATGTTACAAAACTCAGTTCCGAACCGAGTGACGGCCCAAATATCCAGGAAAACAAAAGTATAATGGTTGACAGAGGGCAGGTAAGACCAGCACAGTTAAAGCGACCCATTCCTAGAGGGAAAAAACCTAAGAAAGCAGCCGCCGATGCCTCTCTGAGATTTTGTATAATGTTTGCTACGTCATGAAAGTAGAGTGGGTAAGGAAAACAGAATGGAAGTTTAAAGGAAACAGCGCCCCACAGCGGCTCGGAGTGTTATCTCCATGGGTAACACGAGTTTTTATGGTTCAAATTGGATTTATTTGCTGCTGCTGCTGTGCTATTTTAATAATTACCACTATTTCAATTCATCCCTGCTAAATATCAGCAGTGGTTACACGGTGCAACCTTATTTAGTTTATTCGATATGTGTAGTATACATTCTTACCAGCAGGGGGCGTCCATCAGCTCCTGGCGAGGATGAAAGTTCCCCTCACTGCTTCCCGGAATTGTCTTCACGCCACTCGTTCTCGGCCTCCTTTTCCAAGTGCAAGCTCCCCCCGAAACACAAAACACTACACCACCCCGTTATTGCTTTTATATATCTGGAGTATACCAACCGCATAGGGACGTGTAAGTTAAATTCCACCGTGGTCGTTTTGCGCTCTGTGCTTTTTGCTCTGCTTGTAGCCGGCGTGTGGTTAACACTATTGCAGTAATGCTGTTGTTGTCTTTTCAGCTAATGCTAAGCTAAAGGCAGTGATGTGCTAAAGCATGAACTACTGTTACAATGCGAAGTCGGCGTGTAGGCCTTGGATTGTTTATATTGTCACTTATTTTGTTTCAGGAGCTCTAATATAATCAGTTCATGTATTGCCATCCAAAATAAAAGTCGAAGTAGACGCATGAGTGTTATTAATTCACAGCCTGTTGGCAGCGTTGCTCGCTGGCTAAGTAGCATCGCTAACCTAGAGGCTAGTGTGTAGTCGCTATCTCACTGTGATTCTAAATAAATACTCACGATATTTACGCGAAATCACAATATAACGGTAAGAGTAACTTTTATTTGAGATGCCGTGAGCTGCAGTTGATTTATAACAAATAAAAAAGCGTGATTTTTGGTCGTGTCTGTCGATGGTTGTCTGTGCGCATTGCGACAACCTAAGATGTGAAAAGCTCAATACTCTGTCTTCACAATATGACATTAAAACACTTAGTACTCTGTAACAACCTTCACCGGGTAACATAAAACATACAGTGTGATCAACTATTCTTCAAATTGTTTTGTGTTTAAAAAATCAATATTTTGCACATTTACATTTAATCTTTCATATTTAATCTTCCTATTTAAGACTAGTAATGCTTAGTTAAATCCTTGTACATATTCACATTGTTATTTTTTTTGTATCTTTTAGTGCTTTTTTACTTTGTAGTTAATGTTATATTGTGTTTAGATTTGCTAACATTGTGTTTTTTACTCATATTGTGTGTTGGATAACCTGCTGCTGTAACGCCACACTTTCCCAGTTTGGGAGCAATAAAGTAATTCTATTCTTTTCTGTCCGGGCATTCAATATTGTCCATCTGATATTTTTATTTACTATCAGTAATCTATAGTTTACAAAGGTTCTCGAAATGTAAGGGCGATGTTTGGTCATGCATCTATCAAAATATGCAAAAGATCTGGAAAATGTTCCTGTGGTGGAATGCTGCATCTACAAAAAGATGTCTTAAATTTTAATTAATATGATCAGTTAAGTTGAAGTACTTAATTGTGGAACATATAGATACAACAAGAGTGTTTACTAACTGCATCTTGCACTCCCTAGGATCAGCGATCATGTCTGACTTCATTGAGAGCGAGGCTGAGGAGTCAGAGGAGGAGTTTGAAGAGAAAGACTTGAAACCTAGAAAGACCCAGAGGTTTATGGAGGAAGATGGTGAGATATGTTTGGATCTGGGTATTTGCCCCCCGAGGTGGAGCTGTGTGATGTGTGTGTAACTAATCTGTCGTTTCTTAAAAGATGAGGAGGAAGAAGAGAACACAGAGGACCAGGACGAGCGAGGAAATTTACGCGGACTCATTGATGATGGCGATGAAGAGGAGGCGGAGGAGGAAGAAGGGGTTCAAAAGAGTGGTAGTGGAGGGGGGAGTGACTCAGAAGAAGAAGTGAGACATCGACGTAAAAAGCGCAGTGAGTACAGATTGCCATTTCAATTCGCAGCGTTTACCACCTTGCGACTTCTCACCTATAATCCGAATGTAACAGAGGCGTTACAGAGGGGGGGGAAGATGTTATCCCACCTCTGTAACACCTTCTGGGGTAGTGACAGGCGAGACGGGATCAGCTGACCAAGCGGGGGAAGCACAGTGCTGTGTGTTTATGCATCTCTGAGTGTGTGTGTGTATGTGGAGCTCCCGATGTGGCGTGCTTCTTCAACACAGAAACACAATGTGAATTCACAGACTGGGAAACCAACATTACACCATCACAGAATGAATATTAATGCACAATGGCGTAATGACAGCTGAGCTTAGTTACAGCGCTTTTGCAGAAACACAGTCTGAAAGAGTTGTATTTACAATAATAAGAAAAAGTGATTAGTGATTTTGTTTTCTCCATAGAGTAGTACACAGAGTATTTTCTGTGTTTGATAAGGAGCACCCTCTGGTTTTCAGTGTCAACGCTGTATTACTGCAAGATTTTTGAGTCAAGAACCGAAAAATGTTCATGTTACCTGGTCTGTTTATACAGGGGGAGAAATTAGGTCATAAATTAATCGCTTCAAGATTAATGTGTTAATGCTGACAACCCTAACATATATATGTTATATATATATTATTATTTATATAATAAATCAATTATTAACATTTAATTATGATCATGTAAAATTTCAAAAGTGATTTCCCCTCAGATAATATTAAATTGGATATAAAGGTGCAACTCAAAGATGTGTTGTCATCATGCATGTGTGCAATTACACATTATTTGTTCTTTTAATTATTTGTGTTCCACTGGACAGGAGATTATAAAGTTAGACAATATATAGCTATATGATTAATCAGAAAAGATGCAAAAAAAAAAAAAAAACATACAGTTTTTCTGCCATCTGTCAGGCAGGTAAAAAAAAATGCTGCCTTATTTTCCTTCCTCTGTTGGGCACCACATGTCGCTGAGCCAGATGTAACCACATATTGGTTTCATTAACCTTGGCAGCTGCTGCTCGACTGTACTTCTATATCAGTGTGGTGTGTAATCTCTCTTCATATTCCTGCTTTTTTAAAGCAAAGACAGTGAATTTATCTTCTACTCACATTAAACACTGTAAATTAATAAAAGCCTGCAGCAGCTATTCTGAAAATATGATAGTTTAAATCATCATATATAAAGGAGGTTCAATGAGAGAAATACTTAAACTGTGTTTTCTCATCCTTAGCATTTCATTCCCCTGAACAAATATTCAACAACATGTCAATATTAAGAAAATGGTAGGCCTGTCCCCGACTAAGGATTTACATAGTCGAGCCTGATTTGTCAGATTTTGCCTATAGTCGACAGGCAGTCTAAAGTTTTGTTGTTATTCTTTGTTTGTGCTTTCAATCCACATTCTCATTCGAGTTTAATCATATTGTTAAACTATTTGTCCTCTAAGCTTGGAATAACAATTTATTCTATGATAAGACATTGTTTTTCTCACTCAGTAAGTCTGCATTAATGTGACCTTATAACCATATTACGCATGTCCAATACTGCATTCACACACTGAATGCCCAGTGTCTGCGGATCAAACCAGCGTAAAACAAACAGGGTCTTTTAACTTACCATTTGAATGTTTACTGAACTCTGCTGATCATAATAATCCACCAAATGGAGTCCCCCCCCCAATATAAATCCAGTAAAAGATTTAATCCGAACACGTTACATCAAAAAACGATCCACAAAACTGTTCAAAAAACTTGATTTTCCCCTGACCTTTTTGATGACACTTGATAGCAGCCTGTAGCAGCCAATGAGAGCCTTTGTTGAAAGGATGTGCCTCCCCCCTGCTCTTACGGCCAATTGCAAGCAACTGTGCGGATGTCTGACATCTCTTGTAGCCAATGAAATTCTCTAAACATGGATAACACTCCATCCATCAATACTTAGGGGTGATTTCTTTATGCAGACACTAAGGACATTTATTTAAAGTACAAGTATGAACTGCATTACAAGTATTAATATGGTGATATTAATTCCAAGAGAGGCTATGAGCCATGAATGATTTGTCTTTGCTGCTGCAACGCCCGAATTTCCCCTCTGGGGAAATAAAGTATCCTATCCTATCCTATCCTAAAACAGACAAATCTATGTTAAATTAGACATTAAACACCCTCATGTAGCTGGAATGGAATTATCTTTATGCTCGACTCTGAGACTGGCAGTCGACTGAGGCTCTGACAAACAAATCGTAAAAACTTTTCACAGATGTAGAAATTCAACAGGTCTTCATGTTGTTGCCTCTGACTGAACTTTTCGTCTTTGCAGATTACGACGACTACCTGGATGATGATGATCTCGACCTGATTGAGGAAAACTTGGGCGTTAGAGTGAAAAGAAGGGTAAGAGTAGATTTGTTTTTACTCCAAAGCAACAGTGTACGCTATCACCTTCAAGCCAGCGGCGCTGATGTTTCACACGTCTTGTGTCACAGAAAAAGAAATATGATCGCGTAAAAACACTTGATGATGATGAAGAAGACGATGACGAGAAGGACTTGATCGCTGATGAGATCTTTCATGGTGACGCGGATGCCGAGCTGGAGGACGGCGAGGCAGTTGATGAGCCGCTCCACCACGCTGATGAAGAGGAAGAAGGAGAGGATGAGGAGTCAGGTTGGACAGGACGAAGACATTTTAGATGTTTCTTGAAATATCAAAAAAGCATAAGCATTGTAGGGAAATCTAAACTCAGACTACAGCTCAATTCTTACATGATGTGGTCCAAACCTTTTTAAATGTAACATTTCTCCCACAGATATAGACGACTTCATTGTGGACGACGATGGTCAACCCATCACCAAAAAGAGGGGAAAGAAGTTTTCAGGATACACAGATGCGTAAGTTCTTTTTCATACAGAAAATCTAGTCTCCCCTATCCTTAAAGAAACAGGAACATGATTTACAATCTCTCTGTATGCCTCTCTACTGTCAATACACCAACAGAGCACTCCAGGAAGCCCAAGAAATTTTTGGCGGCGACTTCGACTTCGCTGACTTTGACGCTGACACATACGACCAGGGCGAGGAGGAGGAAGAGGACCAGGATGAAGAGAGTTGGGACAGACCAAAGAAGACGACCAAGAGAAGGCAAGGGAGGAAGAGCATCTTTGAGATCTACGAGCCTAGTGAGCTGGAAAGTAGTCACATGACTGACCAAGACAATGAGATCCGGACCACTGACATGCCCGAGAGGTTTCAGGTGTGTGTCACTTTGATGCTCACAATGAGGAGCTTTTTCTTTTTGTGTTTGGCTGATGTTTTCTTTCTTGGTGCTTGTCTTTCTGACTTTGTTCTCAATTTTATAGTTGCGATCGATCCCTGTTAAACCTGCTGAGGATGATGAACTGGAGGAGGAAGCTGAGTGGATCTTCAGGCATGGCTTCTCCACTCTTACCATTTCCATGCAGGTATGACTTTTGCATCAACGCTCAGGAAAAATTCCATGAAAAAAGAACGTTCAATGAACTCAATTGGATTGTCAGTCATGATATCCGGTTTTAATTATCCTTTTGTTGGATAAATTCTTAGACATTTCAAAAATCCTTCCCGATTAAATCATGATGCATGATTTTTTTAAATCTCTACCGTCAACAGGAAAGCACAGATTATCTGGACAGGGGCACGACCACAAACTTCAGCAGGAAAGGCCCAAGCACAATTGCCAAGATCAAAGAGGCCCTCAACTTCATGAGGAATCAGCAGTTTGAGGTACAATAACAACCCTTCATTCCCATTATCTGCTCCGGTGAAGAAAAATGTGACATAGTTGTTAACAAATGATTCCTTCTTCAGGTTCCCTTCATAGCTTTCTACAGAAAAGAATATGTGGAGCCAGAGCTCAACATCAATGACCTATGGAAGGTGTGGCAGTGGGATGAAAAGGTATAGTTCATCTGTTTAGTTCCCTTATGGTGGAGGGAATAGATTACAATGTGAAGCCAACAAATTGTAGATATGTGTATATAAGGGGTGACAAGTGAATCCGTACTACTGAATCTGATACTACTCAGACACTGTGTTTAATGATCCTTCAATTGCTTTTGTCAACTTTTCTGCATATGTCTGGTCTGGTCTCTGGACTTCCACATTATCCCCCTCCCTCCACCAGTGGACTCAACTGAAGACCAGGAAGCAGAACCTGACCCGTTTGTTTCAAAAGATGCAGTCCTACCAGTTTGAGCAGATCTCTGCGGACCCTGACAAACCTTTGGCTGACGGTATCCGTCCTCTGGACACAGCTGACATGGAGAGGTATGTCTTCATCACAAAAAGACGAGTTGACATAGTGATGGGATATGAACAGTGCTGATCACTGTACAAGCCAGTATGATCAACTGCTGCTCAATATTTATCAGCTACAACTCAAACATAGTGCACTCGGTTTCATTCTCAACTGTTTCCTATACACAAGCAAGCAGAGAATGTGAAAACTGGCCATGTAACAAACTTAGAAATCTGACAGCCAGCTAGTAATTGTTGGGGGAGTATTGCAGAGCTACTCAGACACACCAACACATAAGCATAGAGTGCTAACGACGGTGTTGGCCACTACACTGTAGATTTGACTCAGAAATATAAACCAGGCTTAATCCTCACGTTCTGCTCTATTATAAGCGAAGTTGTCCTTTTTCTGTAGGCTGAAAGATGTGCAGAGTCTTGAAGAGCTGGGTGACGTCTACAACCACTTCCTGCTCTACTACGGCCGAGACATCCCCAAGATGCAGAATGCTGCAAAGTCCAGCAAGAAGAGGCTGAAGAAGATCAAAGAAGTGTCAGAGGATGGTATGACGGATGTGTCTGAATGTTCAATTCTATCAGTTAGTGATTGAAAGATACTGCAGAATTAGTCAATCGTACAGTATATTATTGTTATTTGGAGCATTTGCCTTGTTCAAAGAAATTCATTTGATGGTCTGTCTCTTTAGGTGAAGAAGAAGAAGTGGAAGTAGAACAAGAAGAAGAAAAGAAAGGACCTGACCTCAAGCTGGCATCCCGCAGAGATATGTACAGCATCTGCCAGAGTGTAGGACTCGGTCAGTCCTTTCATTCCCTTTTTGCACCACACTCCCTGTACTCAAGTATCCTTAAACTTTTCTTTTCTGATCATGGTAATACTGCAACTTGTTTTTTTTACTCACTGCAGATGGCTTGGCTAAAAAGTTTGGGTTGACCCCAGAGCAGTTTGGAGAAAATCTGAGAGACAGCTACCAGCGTCATGAGACAGAACAGTTCCCAGCCGAGCCTATAGAGCTGTCCAAAGACTATGTGTGCAGTCAATTCTCCACCCCCGAGGCGGTTCTTGAAGGAACCCGGTACATGGTGGCCATGCAGATTGCCCGTGAGCCTCTTGTCAGACATGTTCTCCGGCAGACCTTTCAGGAAAGAGCAAAGATCAACATCAAGCCTACAAAGAAGGGCAAAAAGGTGACAAGAAACAGCAGAATGTTTCCTGATCTGAGTATTCTCTGAGCAGCGTCCTAAACCTGTCAATCATTTGTTTTGTTTCGTTCCTGTAGGAGGTAGACGAAGCTCATTTTGCCTACTCCTTCAAGTATTTGAAAAACAAGCCTGTGAAAGAGCTGAATGGGGATCAGTTCTTGAAAATGTGCTTGGCAGAAGAAGAGGGGCTGCTTGCCATTGACATCTGTATAGACCTTATAGGTGTGAAAGGGTAAGTACAAGGACAGTACTGACTGCTAAAAACTCAAATGAAGAAAATGCAGTTGAATGTTGTCAGTGCACCAGATCTGTAAAGAATACTACACTGTCTGAGATTACATGATTATTTGTAAAGTCAGCTTTAATCAACAAGAAAAGGCAAATCACAAGTAAACAGACCCATCAAAGGCCTCTAATTCTAGTCATTTTTTGTGTTTGTGCACATCCCATGGCAGTAGGATAGTTCCCAAAAACAGAATCAGATTTGACTAACTAGTGCCATTTTTAGCATCAGCTTAGAATTCTGCTCAGATGTTGGAGGAAATGAGGGTTGATAAGTAGGATGGCTCCCCCAAGGGTTTCAGCAGCAAATTATTTTTCTACCCACATCGTTGTCATTAAAGCATGGGTCTGTTGAATCCCGACTCTGGCTCTATTAAGGATCTCTTTTTCATGTATCCGCTTCTCTCTGTGTCTTCCTCCTCAGATATGCCGGGGACCAGACGTACTTTGATGAGATCAAACAGTTCTACTACAGAGACGAGTTCAGCCACCAGGTGCAGGAGTGGAACAGGCAGCGAACTTTAGCCATAGAGAGAGCTCTCAATCAGTTCCTCTACCCTCAGATGGCCAAAGAGCTCAAGAGCAAACTGATCGCTGAGGCCAAAGAGAGCATTGTTCGGGTAATTAGTCCTGCGATCATTCGCCACATATTGTAACGTCGGTGCAATGCTCATTTTGTAAAGTTAGATTGCAAAGATAAATCTGTGGTTGTTTGATTAGCCTTTAAACTCTATTTCTTTTGTAGTCCTGCTGTCGCCGGTTGTATAACTGGCTGAAGGTGGCTCCTTACAGGCCAGATCAGCAGGTTGAAGAGGAGGATGATGATCTGATGGATGAGAGTCAAGGCAAAGGCATTCGTGTGCTGGGTGTGGCCTATGCACCAAGCAGGTATGTGTCCCACAATATTCAAACTATTTTCCTCAATATGTAAGTAGCTGGAATTAAAAAATTCTATATTGTAGATAAACTGCATGTTTAAGCCATACAAGACCAAGCACTGTTTTCTCGATTAACCAGAAGCTTATGTGACCGTACAATCCCTTACTTTGCTCTTACAGAGACACACCAGTGTTCTGTGCTCTGATCAATGGTGAAGGAGAGGTGGTTGACTTCTTACGCCTGCCCTACTTCATGAAGAGGAGGAATGCCTTCAGGGAGGATGAGAGGGAGAAGAAGGTACAAGCTAAGAATGTGACAGTACTTCAATACAGTCATTACATGCTTGGTGTAATTTAGGAAGCTTGTTTGTGGATTCAGGTTTAAGACCATCACTTACTCGTGTGTGTGTGTGTGTGTGTGTGTGTGTGTGTGTGTGTGTGTGTGTGTGTCATCCTCAGAACCACGATATTGAAACTCTCAAAAAGTTTCTGTCCAGCAAGAAACCCCATGTGGTGGCTGTGGCTGGGGAAAACCGGTAAATAAATGAATTATCTTCTGTTACTGATTGAAAGCTACATATAGACATTTTAAACAACATTTATCAGTAATAATATAGTTGGGGTTTAAGTGTTTAAAACATGTCATGTATGCAGAGATGCCCAAATGATCATGGAGGACATCAAGAGGGCCATCAGTGAGCTTGAGCAGGAGTCCTCTCTGCCTGCTGTGGGAGTGGAGCTTGTTGACAACGAACTGGCCACGCTGTACATGAACAGCAAGAAGTCTGAGGTAAATATAAAGCATGTTGACCATACCAGACACAGACACATCACTGGTTTCAATGTTTGACCATGGCAGCTAGTTCACTAACTAGAGGAGAACAATTGTTCCCTAAAATGTTAATTCCCCTCTAACCCCTTGATTTTTGCCCTTGCAGGTTGATTTTAGGGATTACCCTCCCTTGCTACGTCAGGCTGTGTCGATAGCAAGGAAGATCCAGGATCCCCTGATAGAGTATTCTCAGGTTTGCAGTACTGATGATGATATCCTCTGCCTCAAACTGCACCCCCTACAGGTAAGAGACAACAATTAAACCACAGGAATTTAGCCTTTCTTCATGTTCATTCACTTCTTTGTATTTATTGCTTTATGCTGATAAAGAATGATTTCTTCCAAAAGTGTCAAAGCTAGGTTTACATTTTCTGTGACTTCCTTGATATACTCGAGACGGAAAGACAAATAACCTGATATTCCAGCCTGTTGTTTTTCTTCTTCAGCAACACACACATAAGTGACATATTTAATTATATTATATTTATTATAACAACTCAGTAATAGTCTCTTTGTATCAACCAATCGGTAATATTTGGATGATTATATGACTCGCTGCTTCTCCAAACTCCTAACCGCCAGTAGCTAAGAAAGAAGATGCCATAGACCTTAAATCATAATGACTCTGTAGCTACATATGCTGCTCTTTCAAGCTGTTGTATCTCTATTATCTCTGTTTTTCTCAGGAGCAAGTGGTGAAGGAAGATTTGCTCTGCGCTCTTCACTGTGAATTCATCAACCGTGTAAATGAGGTTGGAGTCGATGTGAACAAGGCCATCGCACACCCTCACACTCAGAGCCTGGTCCCATATGTCTGTGGTCTGGGACCAAGAAAAGGCTCCCACCTGCTCAAGGTGAGTGTTTATGTCATACATTTATTGTGTCATATTTGAAAACAAAAGGGTCTTATATGCTGAACTGATCACCATCTTGGTTCTTGTACTTGTTTAGATTCTAAAGCAGAACAACACCCGCCTTGAAAACAGAACCCAGCTGGTCACAATGTGTCACATGGGACCCAAAGTTTTTATCAACTGTGCCGGTTTCATCAAGATTGACACTGCATCACTAGGAGACAGGTTGGTACCTTTTGGAAGATTTTTGCACACAACCAGAGAATCATATTTTCTCCTAACTAAAGAAAGGCTGCTTTCTGTCTGGAGTTCTTTTTTTAAAATCAGCATTGTTTTCCACACAGCACTGACTCCTACATTGAGGTTTTGGATGGATCTCGAGTCCATCCTGAGACGTACGAGTGGGCTCGTAAGATGGCTGTGGACGCCCTCGAGTATGATGAGTCTGCAGAAGATGCCAACCCAGCAGGAGCTCTAGAGGAGATCTTAGAAAATCCAGAACGTCTCAAAGATCTTGACCTGGATGCTTTTGCAGAAGAGCTTGAGAGACAGGTTAGTGTGACAATGTAACAATGTCTCATGCACCCTTTTGTTAAAGACAGATTTTTTTGAAGGGAATATACTATGAAAAATCCACTTTTACAGTGTTTTTGAACATATATTTGGGTAACCTGAGTGTCTACTGACCCACAAAATGTGAAATAAATCCATCCAGTCCTTTGTTTGTGGTCTGCGTAAGTCTTACAACACAGAGAAAAGTGCTCTGTTAAAAATTTGCTCAACTTGTGATGTCACACGTTGGCGTCTGGTAAAAAACGATACCCCCCCCCCTTCCCCTGATATTTCCACCCATGGACTCCATCCCCAGCCTAGAAATAAACTGTTGCGCAGGTCTGCCATTCTTTTTTCTTGCTACAGAGGAATGTCTACCGGGAAAACTCAGGGGGGGCGCTTATTGTATTTAATCGAGACACACACACCAAGAAGGAGCGTTCTGAGAGAGCTGGTTTATACAGGGTCACAAACCTCTCTGGTGCTTGATTCATGTTATATATTGACCAAAGCACAACACAGATGTTTCATGTAGACCACAGGGAACTGTTTTAAAATGTGGAAAAGCATGTAACGTGAAATATAATTAGTCTAGATAAAGATGAAACTGTGTGTTTAAACCTGTAAAGTCAAAAGCAACTTCAGCCTTGTTTCACATTTCAATGATTTAATCAACACTGTTGTTTTCTTCTGTGTTTCTCTCCCTTAAGGGTTACGGCAACAAGGGGATTACCCTCTACGATATCCGTGCAGAGCTGAGCTGCAGATACAAAGACCTGAGAGTTGTCTACAGAGTCCCCAACACAGAGGAGGTTTTCAACCTGCTCACAAAGGAGACTCCAGAGACATTTTATATTGGTAATACACACTGCCATAGTAGACTTTTAGTATTTGTAAAATAAGATTCATAAATTAAAATACTTCTTTCTTAATGATAAGCACTCAGCCGATGACGTTGAGCTTCATAGGTCATTCTGTTTTCCCATGCTTTCCTTCCAGGTAAGCTGATCACCAGTGTAGTAACTGGTATCGCTCACCGGCGTCCTCAGGGTGAGAGTTATGATCAGGCCATCCGTAACGATTCTACAGGCCTGTGGCAGTGTCCTTTCTGTCAGCAGGATAACTTCCCTGAACTCAGCGAGGTACCAGTCACCTGAGTGTACTAATCTACTTACTTTATGTCGGAGAACAACCAAGAGCCTGCCCTCTTAACATCATCTTTTTGATTTTGTTTCCCCATTTTAGGTGTGGAATCACTTTGACAGCGGGTCGTGTCCTGGTCAGGCTATTGGGGTGCGGTCCAGATTAGATAACGGCGTCCAGGGATTCATTCCCACCAAGTTTCTCAGTGACAAAGTGGTTAAACATCCTGAGGAGAGAGTCAAGGTGAGGCAATGCTTGTTGTGCTTTGCAAAGGGATTTTACTTTTTATTTATCGTTCTTCTTTATCTTACCAGTGAGAAAGAGGAATTTCTACACACAAAAAAGTTCAGTTTGTCCCAGTTACACTACAGAAAGATTTAGATTTCTAGAGTTGTGTTACTTCTTTTTTTCCTGGATTATTCCCTATTGTTTTGGCCCGTGTTAAATATGACTGTTCATTTCCCCCTTCCTCCTCCAGGTGGGCATGACCGTTCACTGCCGTATCATGAAAATCGACATTGAGAAATTCAGCGTAGACCTCACATGCCGCACATCAGATTTGATGGACAAAGCCAATGAGTGGAAGCTCCCCAAGGACAGCTACTATGACTTTGACACAGAGACCGAAGACCAAAAGCAGGAGGAGGAGCTCAAAAAGAAACAACAGCGAACACGTTAGTGTTTAAATGATCACACTTTCTATCATCTAAATGGCTCATAGGCTCTTAATTTACAGCTAAAAACTTCACTTCCATAAATCTTACTGTCCTTATACTCTGTCCTTTGTGTTCTCTCTATCGCTTCAGCTTATATTAAGCGTGTGATCGCCCATCCAAACTTCCACAATATCAGCTTTAACCAAGCAGAGAAGATGATGGAGACCTTGGATCAGGGAGACTTGATCATTAGACCCAGCAGCAAGGGAGAGAATCACCTCACCGTCACCTGGAAGGTAAGAAACTGATGGAGGGTGACAACAGAGCAATTTAGAATCAAATTGATAAATAAATGACAAGATGATTGAGGAAAAAAGATTCAACGTAATAAAATACTTTTTATGAAAGCACAGATTACAAACATGTTTAAATCAGAAAACTTGTATGTACATTAATCTGATGTGTATTGTTAACCCAAAGAGTTGTTTAATGTACCTCGGTCTGATTGTGTAATGTTTTCTAGGTGGCTGACGGTATCTACCAGCATGTGGATGTGAGAGAAGAAGGCAAAGAGAACGCATTCAGCTTAGGTCACACTCTCTGGATAAATAGTGAGGTAGGAAGTGTTCCCCCTCCCCCATGTTTAATGTTAACTTGTGCATTAACATCAACCCTGCAGCAACCCTGTTCTGAAATAAGTCTTACATTCTCTGCAGGAGTTTGAAGATCTGGATGAAATCACAGCTCGGTACATTCAGCCAATGGCATCCTTTGCCCGGGATCTGCTGGGACATAAGAACTTCCATGAGTGCTATGGGGGAAACAAGGAGGTAAGTACTGAATGACAGTCCTGTCCTGCGTATTCTCATCTTTGAATTCATGGATCTCTTTTTAAACCTGGTATTTCCTTAAGCTGCATCTCTCACATCTTTTTTCTCTTGTTCCTCTCTGATAGAAAATGGAGGAGTTATTGGTCAAATCAAAGAGGGAGAAGCCTACTTTTATTCCATACTATATCTCGGCATGTAAAGAACTGCCAGGAAAATTCATACTGGGCTACCAGCCTCGTGGAAAACCAAGGTGAGCAGAAGTGTTTTCTCCCTTCTCTGTTTCCTGTCGACTTACAATAAACACGTGGATTTGAAAAGGTTGCTGCTACAGCTCACTATGAACACACAACAACAAACAATTTCATTCACTATTTTAAATACTTTTTACATATTACTTATGATAACATTCAAAGATCCTTAGCTCCTACACAGGCTCATATTTTCCATCTACCGTAAAATCCATTCTCTTTGAGGGACCTTCAAAAACAGTGTGCGTCCTATTAACCGGTGCGTTTTATACTTATATTCTGGATTTTAGGGTAAATCTTTCTCAGTCATGTTAGATGTTGAGCCTTATCACTCAACACAAAACACCTTTCCACATAACTGTTCCCCTAACAAGACTTTTTTTTATTACCCTAAATACTTACTGCTGTGATTGGTAAGACTTTTGAAAAACTACCTTGGCAGCTGAATGTCAACACATCTTTTTTTTTTTTTCAGGGTTGAGTTTGTGACCATCACTCCAGATGGTTTCCGCTACCGATCGCAAGTATTTCCCACTGTGAACGGACTTTTCCGTTGGTTTAAGAACCATTACCAAGAGCCTGTGCCAGGTAAAGAAGCACTCTGCCTGTTGTATATGTCTATATTACAGTTAAACAGTAACAGTTAAAATATACTGCGCATTATAATCTCCAACTTTCTTTTTTTCCAAAGGCATCACTCCTAGCAACAGCAGCCGAACAAGGACTCCGGCTTCCCTTAACGCCACTCCAGCTAATATCAACATCGCAGGTGAGTCCAACTTTTAGACACAACACACACCTAAACACAAACCCCCTCCTCAGCAGTGCAGCTGTGTATGTCCTTTTTACAATTCTTTCCTCCTCATCAGACTTGACCAGAGCTGTCAACGCCCTCCCACGCAACATGACTTCTCAGATGTTCAGTGCCATCGCTGCAGTCACAGGCCAGGGCCAGAACCCCAACACCACCCCAGCGCAGTGGAACTCAAGCCAGTACGGCTATGGCGGCAGCACAGGAGGAGGAGGAGGAGGAGGAGGAGGGAGCTCCTCTGCTTATCATGTGAGTGTTATTTTGAAGGTGGAATACTTTGGAAGTAAAATGTTTGATGTGGCGATGTTGATGATTCACTTAGTTGTTGTTGTTTCTTTGTACTTTGACGCTCAATCTTCTGATTAGATCTAGTGATAATGGTAGTTAGGAGGCTGATCAGTTTTTAGACTAGAAATTCTAATTATTTACTTAGTTGCAGCTTATTTAAAAGCATGTAAACATGGGGCGCTGGTGGCGCAGCGGTTAGTCCATGTGCCCCATGTATGGAGGCTGTAGTCCCTCAGGCAGGTGGGTTGGAATCCGACCTGTGGCTCCTTTCCCGCATGTCATTCCCAACTCTCTCTCTCTACCTGATTTTCGACTCTTTAAAAAAAGCATGTAAACATACCAGCAAACCTCCCAAATCCAATGCTTTTGTGCCAGCTATTGTCAATTATACACAGACATGCACCTACAATAAGAAAAACCTGTATCACATATCTGAATTTTCCCCACTCATTTATTGCCTTCTAATAATGAAAAAAACAGATTTTTAGAGCAAAAAAAGGAGACAAAAGTGTGATTTTAGCTGTGATTACAAATGTTAACTAGATGCATAATTGATGATTTTTCTTAAGTACTTTGCTGAGCCACATTCATAAGCAGCACTTTTTCCCTGCAGGTATTTGCCACTCCTCAGCAGCCTATAGCGACGCCCATGATGACGCCCAGTTACTCCTACACCACACCAAGCCAGCAGGCCCTTGGCACGCCACAGTACCCCGGCTCCACACCACAGTCCTCGCACTCTCATGCACATACGCACCCTCACGGAAGCCACGTGTCGCACCACAGTCATCACGGCCATCACAGCAGTCACCATGGCCACTCGTCCGGTACGCCTTCATCCTCCACGTCATCCAGAGGGCGGACACCGCAGCAGCGCAGCAGCCGCAGCAGCCACAGCCGCCGCAGCCAAAGTAAGTACAGGGGGACTATTTATTCGAACCTGAAAGGTTAAAGCATGCTGGTTTTATGGTGTGTGTGTGTGTGTGTGATAAACTACTGAAACATCATGCCCAGATTGTTATTTGCTTCAAATGTGACTGACAACAACGTTTAGCTTTGAACTTAAAATCCTCATTCTCTGGTCTCGTGCACATACGTGAGTAGGCTTGTTTGAGAGGCCTCTCTGTCGGGGTCTTGTTTTCGCTAAATCAGCCTTTGAGGACATAGTGGAGACTCTAACCAACCTCAAACTGTGTGTGCACTGACAGGAAAGAGCAGGAAGAAGTGTGTGTCTATGTTAGTGATGCAGATCAACAGAGACAGACGTTTCAGAAAATGTATGGTCATGAAAAAATCTTGACAAATTACTGGCAAAGAAGAGTATGAACCCTAATATAAAAAAAGAACCAGCTTTATGGAATGGCTATTTTTTGCCAGTAGGTGGTGCTAACCATCAACCTGTAGCACTAACACTTAGATGTACTCCCCACCACCTCTTGAAGTCTTTCTTGCCTACGCTGTCATTGGCTAAAGCTCCTCCCCCTCTTTCCCCCTTTCCCTGCAGGGCCAGCGGCAGCAACGCCTCCGCCGTGGACTGGGGTAAGATGGCGGAGCAGTGGCTGAAGGAGAAAGAGGCAGAGGGGCGGAAGAAAGCCCAGAGGATGACGCCACGTCCATCACCCAGCCCCATGATTGAGAGCACACCCATGTCCATCGCCGGAGATGCCACACCCCTGCTGGATGAAATGGACCGATAGGACACGTAGGGGGGCATCACTACCCCCCGCCCCCGCCCCAACTCCATCCTCCACACGGCTTCTTCATCTGGATAATCCTCCTCCTAATGTATTCCCCACCACCTGTCAGCCCCTGTGATCCAGTTATAGCTCATGCCATCACCTGACTGTCCATTCACAACCTCTCCCCACCTCCTGATGTTGTAGCTGCAGTTTATCAGTCTGCTATCATGGTTAATCTCAACCCCTTTCTTCATGTCTTCATCTCAAATGCCCACCCCCAAATCCAGCCAACTCTCCTGGCTGATGAGTATTTTGTATAGTATGAATAACAACACTGTATATGTCAAAATGTCAGTACAATGACAAAAAAAACACTTGAACTATCTGACAGCAGTAACATATAGGATATGGACCTACACAGACTATGTTAGCCAGCTGTCCTGTTTTCTTTATTTTTGTGATCAGTCTTAGTTTTAGCCATGAATGGTTATGACAGAGGGGCACAGGTAGTTTTTCCTTCAATGTGGTTGGTGGATTTTTTTGCCAAAAGAGCGCTTTGCCAAGCCAATCAGGAAATTGAAATTTTTTGTATGCGTCAGAATGAATAAAGACTGTTGTTTTTTCTGTTTGAACATTAAGCCTCTGCTCTTCACATCTGTCAAAGCAAACACATCCGTGACAGTCCAGAAACACACACACACACACACACACACACACACACACACACACACACACACACACACACACACACTGAATGTGAGAGACTTTTACTGTCACCTAAAATGTGAGTTATTGCTCCTTTCTCCACCTCGTGCTGTATTATGATCAGCTGACTGTGTTCTGCCTCCTGTAGATAGCCTCTAATGTATTATGGACTCATACTGAACCTCTTGAAGAATGCTGGCGGACACTGATAGTGTGCCACATAAGACGTTACACTGGTTATTTGTGATGACTTTTTCCGCATTAATGCGAGACAGTGAAGTTAGGTCACATTTGAATGCAGTTTAGTTCAAAATCTAACGAGTAAAGTAAAAGCACCTCAATGTGTCAAGTTAGCATCAGTGACAGTGTCTATGCACATTTTTATTTAAAGTTAACTCTTTGAGTCTCGCATCTTTATTTTTTGGAGTTCAGAGAGAACTTGACCTTGATTTGGGATTATGATGTCATCAACGTTGCAGGATGCAACACCATTCGAGTGCTGCTGCAGCAATTGTCTTAAATGGTATAAACTATAAGACTAAAAGGTTTCAGTGGATACCTTCCACTTTCTTTCTGAACTGAGATGTATCAGCAGATGATACCCATCAAACTGACTTCTCACTGTTTATAAACCTAGCTCTGTATAATATTTGAAATGCACGCAGCTGTGTCAGTCAAATGAATTTGTTGTTGTCCAAGCCACTCTGCATCCCTCCTGACTTGTGCATTCACTTGTTTTCTGCTGTGCCTAGTGCCACAGTACAATTGAGCAGTGCTAATATTCAATGGTGTGCTTCATTTTGCAGTGTGCAAAGTATCATGGTCCCATAATATGCATATGGCTTTAAATGATTGTTTTGATTAAACTTGCTTGGTTTTACTTCTCTTGCCAGATTTAGATACATGGTCTCTCTCAGCAAGGGATGTGATTGGTTGTCGGCAGTAGTTGGGGATAGAGAAGTGTTGTTTCTGGCACTGCTGATGACCTTTTCTGCCTGTGATCCCTTTAATAAAAGTGTTCATATTAAACCTCAAGTCTTTTTTGGTACTAATATGGGAAACAGACTGACAGTCCATTCATCTGATAGTAGTGATGTCTTTGCTCTTGATTGTTTTCACAGTGGAAATTTCATTAGATGTGGACCGAATTTGAATAATTTAACGCCCTGTAAAGTATGCAGTATGTTTTCCAGTACATACATTTTTTAACAAAAGACAACATAGTGAACAAAAACAAATTATTTACAGTTTATATCCAATGAGCCATAATATGAGAGTACATATATGTGTTTTAATAGGAAACAAGAGATATATGCAGACTTACACAGACAAACTTCTTAAATGAGAAAATGATTTCGTTTTAGATGTCTGCTTGTAACTGTCTCTGCAAACTATCCCTCCATTTTCAGGATCATGAGAACTCGCATCGGAAGAGAAGGAAGAGCTGTGGGTGTGACGGCGGTCATGGGAGTCAGCGTACGCATCACATTAGCTGCAGACACATGACTGGAGATCAGTGAGGAAACCCACCAAAAATGCATGAGTACAAACATTTGCTTGTCGCAGGAAAATAAATGTTTCCGTTGACGGACAGACACAAGTTTATGAAATCATCAACATATTGTTATTTAATAAAAGATCTAGAGGAGAATAATGTCCCTCGATTCATAAATGCTCAATAAGCATATCACAAAGCTCTATTTGTTGTAACCCAGGCCGGCAGTACAAACATCCCTGAGAAGACTTATGGCTGTTTACAGCTCAACTTCATTATCTGAAACAGAACTAGCTCCTTCTCATGCTATCTGCAGGCACTACAAATGCAATAAAATGTAGATGATGCTGCTTTTCAAAGGCTCGATTCAAGATGTCATTGAGCATGCAGATTCTTATTTCAGTTTCTCCTTCAGCGTAATTCGTTGCTGTTTAGTCGGTGCAGAGTGTATCACGGCAGTCGTTGGTTCTCTAGTCTCAGCAGCAGTTGGAGCTCCTCTTGATGGGTTTGTGGTTGTTTTCTGTGCTGTCTGTGAGCCCTGTGAACGACACGTTTCAAATAAAACACCTTTCACAAATTTACATTCAGAATTTAAAATGTAACGTTTAGAAAACAGAGTGTCAGATTTTAAAGACAAGCATCATACAGGGTATTCTTATTTTCAACAAATCCTGCTTAAAGAAACAAACAAGCATGAACTGATCTGACAAACTCAGAAACTGAATGAGCCACATCATTATACTATGTTCCTTTGTTACTATTGTACAACGTGGTTGTTGTAACGACATATTTGTATAGTGAAGGGACTGAATGTAAACACGTCATGCTTGTTCAGATGAAAACACTCCACAGGACTATTCAGCAAACTCACAGTTTACTGCTTTTTGATTCAGAAATACAGTTAATGCTGATTAAACATTTAGTAAGTTTGAAGTCACACTCAATTTTCAACATTTCTTTAAAAACGTAGAGAACTTTATACTGCCTTCCTACTGAAAATGTACATCTCCGAAAGAAACAAATGGACTACAAATGGATAAAACAGTATAGACATGCAAGAAATGGACAAACACACAGGGGACCTTGTTTTTGTAGCTAAGTAGAAAACATTTGAAAATCAATCTCATTCAGAGAATGTTCTGATCCCAACCACAAACATGCAAGAGCCCCAGAGCTGATCCTTGGATTCTTGTATGTCATGAGTAAAACTGATTCGTAATGCTTCAACTACAGCTGAAAGACAAACGTTCCTCTGAGGAAATTCTTTCCTTTGACCTTTAGAAACATCACTTAATGACACTGAAGAGTATATCAACATGAAATCCAAACTGGCTCGATACGTGTAACCCTGGCATATGCAGGTTCATAGATATTGGAGAACTACTACATTTCTATGGATCAAACAAATAGTAGTATCATGCTGCCTTGTTCATAGTGATTTATCCAAGCAAACAGACTCACTGATTATGTCTCCAAAGTTCCTCGAGCCAGTTTTCTCCAGCTCAGACAAAACATTGGCCTCAAAAGTCAGAGAGGCCACGCGGAAGAAGAAATCCCTGACACCGTCTCCTGGCACAATGAAGAGACACAGAACGGTTTAAGTGGATAAAACAGGATGTAAAAAAAAAAGAATTGGTGGTGGGAGATGAAGATGAACTCATATTAAAGTGTGTTCAACTCCCACCTGACATGCAGACACAGCCCAGTACTCGGCTTTGATTTCCTCTGACAGTCTGATGGCTTCCTGCTCGACGTGAGCCAACTGATCAGGAGACTGAGGAGAGAGAGACAAAGAGGGGAGAACGGAGGTCATTGGTGGATGATCATAAAGTACCAGTGAGGCATTTACATCTGCATCTATCAGTTCATTTTAGAAATGAGGAAAATAACATGATTCCAGGTTCTTTAATTAAAATATTTTCATAGTTTACATTATAGTGAAGTTATATTTTTATGAATTAGAAAACCAACAGATCAATCAAAGTAGTAGTAACCAAATAGATATTTGCAAGAAGTATCTACAATTTGAGAAGAAACTCTTGGTCAAAACCAATCCTTCTAAAATAATCTGAACATACATGAAAAGAACACCAAGGTTGAATGTAAGTCTTGCTTAAGTGTTTTTTATGTTCAACAGTCCAAAACCCAAAGATTCTCCTTTAATTGTTATACGAAACAGAGAAAAAAAGGCATCACATCACAGACAGAATGTCTTGTTTCTGTTTATCTCCTTATGACACTGATTGTATAACATTTGAACTCAGTTTCATTTCAACTCAGCTGTTGTTAGGTTTCACTCACGCTGAGGTCCTTCTTAGTACCGACCAGGAACAATAAAACACTGGATGGGTCATTTTCCTTCATAGCATCCTCCAGCCACTGTCTAAACAGACACACACACACACACACACACACACACACACACACACACACACACACACACACACACACACAAATGAACACACAACACACTTGTTGATTTCAAATAACATTCTAAAGGGTATAACACTGGCATCATGACGGTTTAGTCCTCACCTGGCATGGGCTAAAGAATTTACACTGCTCAAGTCGAACACAACTATAATGGCTGTGGAACAAAGACAGGAAAGTATGAAAACATTGAAACAGTATGTATGATGACTTGTGTGTTAATTTAGACAAAGGTGAGGGGTTTTAATATATACTATAGAGACTGAGCCAAATTCACCTTGAGCTCCTCTGTAATATGTTGAAGCGATGCATTTGAATCGCTCCTGACCGGCCGTGTCCCACCTGAAATATTAACAGATTCTATGACTACTTTAAAATTCAAACAGAGGGGAGGCATTTCAAACAGGCCTTGTGACCCCTTCAACCTTATTAACCTTATTAACCTTATTATTAACTAAGTGAGTTAAAGTAAATACATGAGTCTGTGCTGTCTGTGGTGTGTAATCATACTCACAGCTGTAAACTGAAGGGAACACCGAGCACTTCAAAACGCTCCATCTCAAAATCCACCCCGATGGTTGCTTTGTAGTTCTTTTCAAATGCACCTTTACGAAACCTTTAAAGAACAAAGGGAATTTATATTACTAAATAAACTCTATTTTAATTCATAATTTTGTATAAAAAGTGAAAGATACGTTTATGCTCAAAGTGGTTTCTTAAGGTTGACTAGACCTTAAGACAAAAAAATCCCATTCTGTAATTCTGTCACAGTCCTGCCCTCGACCGACCCTTCACTAGAATCAATGAAGGTTTTTTAAACAGACTCTCTCTTTTGATCAAGCTGGACGTAACTCAGTTAGAACCTTAATGATGATTTGGAACTTCACCAAAGAAAACTTGATTACATGAACACACTATTCAGACATCAGGGGCTTTGGTGGGGCATCAGACTTACTATCACAAATCTTTCAATTTAAATCAGTGTTTCTGAAATGTCAACATAGAAGCTTTAAATTGAAAGGTTCAAGAAGTATTTACCTTGAGTTTAGTCATGATTGTTATTAGAAATAGATTAGTAAAACCTCATTTGAAACCATATAGAACTACAAAGGCTACATAAAGTCATAGAAATAAAACAATCAAACCAAAATATTATTTAAAAAAATGCTGATTAAACCTTCAATTGCTCTAATTATTTATGACTGCTTCTTACCTGCTGATCAGACACGTCTTTCCAACTGCAACATCTCCCACTACAATAACCTTGGCGATATTAAAGCTGGTAACGGAAAGAAAATAACATCATTTATTAATGACTCCAAACAACAGCAGCTTAACATGAAACACACCAAATCTAATCAATAACCTGCAGCCACCTATTTCCCCCTTCATAACGTCTGAAAGCATACGGTATTTAAGGTGTCTTTTGCATTTTTTAAAGTCATTTAAGTGACTTTTTAGTTACTCCTTGACAGTGACTAATAGAAATCTGTTGACAGTCCCCAGTCTGCTCTTAAATCACTGATGTATGAGATCACAATAATTGATCTCACAAATGAATTCATGATTAATGATGTTTTTCTCTCTGAAGCACTCATAAGTTGCTGTGGGCAACTAAGAAGGCTTTGATGGAGAACTCTGCTGATATTTTATATTTGTTCTTATTATAATCAAATGAACGACTTTTAAATCCCATAAGTAAAAGTTTTGTCTGTTCAGCCAAAGCGAGAACGTATATACTAAATCTTTTGGTATCGTCTAAAACGCTTCTAAAGTCATAACAACGAGAACACTGTTTCACGTTCCATTATGTGTGTAGTGAACACTGCTCATCCACTGTCCTGTCACCTCAGCACCAAATGTGTATTACTACTCTAGTTAATATAGTTGTAGCTCAGTAGCTGCTGTGTGAGTAATGTTTGCTAAAATCTGCTATCCTGAGCTGATTTATAAGCCTTAAAAAAACATAAAATATTGTCTAGTTTGTTAAGATGAAATGCCACCGAGCAGGAAGCACCAGTGTGAAGATGAGTCTGTTGGTATTGGTCTTTTTCATGTGATTTGTAGTTTCACCGTGTTATCCTTCAAAACTACTCGATCAATGCAGTCAGTTGTGATGGGTGTGGTGCGTGGCTGTCAGCTGACAGAGCAGACATAGTTCGACTCAAATGACTCTGCCTGAACTAATTTAATTCAGACACATACCAGAGTGTGTGAAGCAGCAGGATGAAAGGCAGTGTGTGTTGTCCGATTAACCCCTCTGTTACCTTACCTTACTGTGCCTGTCTTCTGCACCTGGCAAGCAGCCTTCACCTGTGGATGGAAGCCATCTTTGGTGTGCAGGGCTGCATTTGGACTGAAACACTGTTAGAAAGGGAAGAGGGAAAAGTCAAACTCGAAAAGAAAGTAATGGAAAGAGACACAATTAAAACTTTTCAAAGTAAACGCAAATTACATCTTATCTATAGACGTGATGTGGTGTGATGTGTGTGTGTGTGTGTGTGTGTGTGTGTGTGTGTGTGTGTGTGTATGTGTGTCTTACTCACCTGTGGGAGCTGAGTTATGATCCTGTCCTTCTTCACAGGTGGCAACATGCTCTAGCACTGATAAACACACACTGTTACACACACTTTCACACGAAACTACAAACCCTTCAAGCTGCCACTCTCACTGACAGCAAACACACTTCTGCGTCACTTCAAGACGACCCACATCCCGCCCCCCCCCCCCCCCCCACAGAATTGAGGTCTTCCAACTTTTCCTGAAATAGAGCAGACATTCGAAAATTCAAAGTTTGACCGAAGTATGCGGGATCATTTTATTTTGTATTCCAAATAACAAAATGTTTACAATAATAAACATGCAACATGTTATTCCTTATTAATACAAGTTAAATTGAGTCTAATAGTCCCGATACCGTAACCACTGCCAGCCAGATCTTATTTTGTTTCGCAAAGGACATATTTCATTTGATCATTTAGAGATTAAAGTTAACACAGGGTGGTTAAACAGTATGTGTCCGATTTGCAAATAAAGAATGAAGCATCAACCAATGAGCATTAAAAAAAATTAATTAAATAATAATTGATAAAAGCAGAAGTACACAGTTCTCAGGGTTTGTCACAGGCTCAGTTGAAAACTTTTACCTCAAAGTGTCGAGCAGGTAGAAGGCTGGAGTGAACTGGGTCTGGGATGTGATATCCAAAGACTGTCGACAAAAAACAAAAAACAAATCCAAAACAAAACGACGCTCACAGAGAAGCAGTGAGTCTCTGTTGACTGTCAAAAAAACAGAAACGCGCATTAAATTGCATTAAATGAAATGAGGCTAAAATGTGTGAAACAGCGCCATCCTGTGGCCGCATGGTTTCCTTTAATACACTTATTACTAATGAAAACACAATTTATGTTTTACATTGGATTCTAAAAACCTTTCAGTTGCGTATTTTCTTCTTTTATTTCTTTTTCTTTTATGAGGGAGATCTAATCTTCATGAATGCAATTTAAACATATTCACAATTACAGTCTGGTAACAATAAACTCCGTCACAACAGGTGGCGCTAGAGCGAGTAACAAACTGCAACTGACGTCATACTCATGCGACGCTAGCCAGGCTTAAAAGCATTGCCGAGGCGTCGCCTCTACCTCTTTGAATTTGTTAGTCGATGCTGCTACCACGTCGGTACTCCACAGCCTGTTTTTTTTATTTTAACAATGGTGAATAAGTACAAGCTCACAACAAAACGCACTGTTCATATAACAAGTAAGGCTTCTGAATTCTCACTTTAATACTGAAGTTAAAACGTGCTAGATTTAGTTGATTGCGTTGCTGCGACGGGCCTAAGGAGGCCACGTGGGGAACACTAAAGGGAGACGTAATTAAGTCAAATTAATTTGTTAATATATGATAATATCAACACACTGCTGTTTGCATCGTAAATTGTTATTTTCTATAATCCGCCTTTTCTTGTTTTTCATTAAATTAAGTATAATGTGTATATATGTATAATTAAGTATGCCGTTTTTAAGATCTATTTTGTGTATTGATTCTTTGTTTGTTAATTAATTTATACTCGCACATTCTTCTGTATTACTCGTTTCTCAGTTTTTTAAAACGATGTCACCTTTTAATGTAATTTTTAAGTCTATAAAATGAAGAAATACTTCTTAGCTACCACATTAGTTTACTAACAATCATCAGGGGAAAAAAAAACAAATAACGTCAATCTTAATTTCCATTAATAATATTTTGTTTAATTTGCTCCCTGTTCGTGTAATTAATATAATTTGATGTTTGTCTTTGCAGATGGATTTGAGGCTTGTATTCTGTCAGGAGGTCATGCAGGACACGTGGGGTGACAGTCATGGTGAGTTACAGTGAAGTGAACTTTCATGTTTCACGAAGTTGTCAGTGATGAAAACTGTGAATAGGAAGTGCCGTCCGATGCGACAACTGACGATGTTTTCATTCTCACTATTCTGAGCCCCAACTTGTGTGGTTTCTCAGGGCTAAACTGCACCCACTGCAAATGTAATGAGCATTATTTTATTATCTTCTATCAATACAGCCTCCAGTGTGGCCCACTGATGATGGATAAAGCCAGACTCAGGTTGGTTTTCTTTGTCTTTTGTTATATGACGTTAGTTTGAATTAATTGTAATGATGAACTCCAAACTGAAATAGCTGGAATTACCGGCAGATTGTTCAGTGGTGACTCTCGGTTTTCTGAACATTAAAAGTTGTTACATGACTGTGCATGGACTTTACTTAAAAATAACATCAGTGTTCTGTTCTGTAGCTGAAACAACTTGCGCTGCCACAGGAGATGTGAAGGCCAGGAGAATGCAGCTGTTTATGCGAAAACTTTTCCAAGTGGGTAAGTTTGTCGTCATTGTCGATCTTCACCCCAAAGTATGTAGGCTGATCAACTCCCAGTTCTTAATTAATGCTGCCATCTTTATAGCTAATGTGTCTTTTCATTCTTTCAGAGCTGTCATGCAGCACACTGTGCTACTAACTCAACCAGCCGCCTGAAGTATCAGTTTCTCCAGGTAGAATTTTAGCCTTTGATTAATTTGGCAAATGTCTGCTTCTGTTGTGATGAAACTTAAACTGAAATAGCTGGAATTACCGTCAGACTGTTCAGTGGTGATATTTGGTTTTCTGAACACAAAATTAAAATGTATTGTCTTGAAGTGACTTGATCCTTGCTGTCTTCTCACCATGCTTTTTTGTTCTGCTTTTTAAAGGTTGCCTTGGCGCTTTAAGATTCTTCTGAAAGACACTGGTCAGTTTCCAAGGATGCTGCAGCAGCCAAGACTTTTGACGTGCTCTCGGTAAGTTTAAATATTTTGTCATGGTGTCGAGTAAGCTTTTTGGTTGTCTCACCGATGTACAGCAAACATCAACGCTTGGTTTTGAACATTTCAAAGAATAAGCTTTGACATGACTGTTATGATGAAATCTAAACTGAAATAGCTGGAATTACCGTCAGACTGTTCAGTGGTGATATTTGGTTTTCTGAACACAAAATTAAATGTTTTCTTGAAATGGCTTGGTACTTGCTGGGTTCTCACCAATCATTTTGTTCTGCTTTTTAAAGGTTGCATTGGTGCTTTAAGAGTCTTCTGGAAGACACTGGTTAAAGGGATACTTCACCTGGTGAAACATGAATCTGGATTGAAATTGGGTCATATGTAGTAATGGGAAATACTTTTTTGAAGTTGGTGCCTTCTTGGCTGAGAAAAGGCAGAAAGTCTCTTTTGGGCTGATGTGGATGAAAGACAACAACTCCCAGAATGCACAGCCCCCGCCTCAGGGGAAAATGAGGGCACAATGCACCGCCATTCAAAAATACTACCAGGTTTCTAATGACACAAAGCTTAATGTAAATTGGTGAAGTATCCCATTAATCTGCGAGGATGCTGCTGCAGCCCAGACTTCTGACACATCTGTGGTAAGTTAAATATTTTTGTCATGCCTTTTGGTTGTCTCACCTATGTACAGCAGTGATGAAAACCTGGAATAGGAAGTGCCATCCGATGCGACAACTGACGATTATGTGTCATCCAGTTTTCTGAGTCGTTTAAAGCTACACTAAAAAATGAAATTTCATAAAATGAATGCATGTTTTCTAATTTTATTGCTGCTTCCATCGCAGGTGTCACTCTGCCAGTTGAAGGCAGTCTTCAGAGGTCTGACATCAACAGGTACCTTTTTTTTTTTTATTGAGCAGATAAACTGCAGTAGTCTGTTGTGATGAAACTTAAACTGAAATAGCTGGAATTACCGTCAGACTGTTCAGTGGTGATATTTGGTTTTCTGAACACAAAATTAAAATGTATTGTCTTGAAGTGACTTGATCCTTGCTGTTTTCTCACCATGCTTTTTGTTCTGCTTTTTAAAGGTTGCCTTGGCATTTTAAGATTCTTCTGAAAGACACTGGTCAGTTTCCAAGGAGGATGCTGCAGCAGCCAAGACTTTTGACATGCTCTCGGTAAGTTAAATATTTTGTCATGGTGTCGAGTAAGCTTTTTGGTTGTCTCACCGATGTACAGCAGTACTTGGTTTTGAACATTTCAAAGAATAAGCTTTGACAGGACTGTTATGATGAAATCTAAACTGAAATAGCTGGAATTACCGTCAGATTGTTCAGTGGTGATATTTGGTTTTCTGAACACAGTAGTCTCATCTTCAGAGTTCACACTGGCATTTTAACTGTTTGGAGACTAACTTCCTTTCTCATCCTGCAGTATTGAATGGAGTAGTTGCAGTAACTCGCCTTGGTATTCCTGCAAGCTGAATGTGGTAAGCCCTAAAGCTCTTCGTCCAGTGTTGCATGGAATGTATTGGCTGTGATTGTAGTTGCTGTAACCTAATCTCCTGCAAAGGATTAATAAAATATCATTTAAATATAGCATTTCAATGAAGAGTGAGATTCAGGAAGAATAGGCAAGGGCCCCAAATCCACAGGTTTCCCTGCCTCCTGCAGGCGAATCTCAGAGCAGTGACTACTACATTTTATTTAAAATTCATAAACCTGCTCCACAGAAATTTAAATGAAGCCAAGTGATCTAGATTAGTTAACTATAATGGAGATGGCAGTGTGGGGATACCTTTGTTAATGTTTGAAACTTTTTAAATGGTTAGACAGAATTTAAGTTTGGGGAAATAATGTTCATTAACAGTCCTCTTGTACTTAATTTAAGCTGCTTTAATCTAAAGTAATCTGGTTTGTTTCAGTGTAGTATAATCTTGTGAAAAATGTATTAAGTTGACGTTATGGAAGAAAAACAATTGGGTAGTTATTTAGACAAGTTATCAATTACTGGACTGATTATTTAACACAACAGCATTTTATCAATGACGTGACTTAAAGAGGTTTTCAAGCAACTACTGTTCTGTTTTCTTAATCTCTACAACCTGTGATCAGCTGACTCTCTGCTAGGTGTTGACCTGATTTAAAGAGATTGTTACACTGTAAATGAAACCAACATCACTGGTCACTGTAGGTTTCTAAGCTGTACTTTTGTTTGATGATTATTCCAAATCTAATGTGGCTACATTCTTCTCTTACAGATATCAAGAGTGGACATGACAACTGCTGTGAAGATGGATGGATGACACATGTTTGAAAAAACATTTTGAGGAGATGGATTTGTGTTATCACAATAAATGTCATAAAAAGACTGAGTTGTTGTTGGTCTCATTGAGCTTCCACTTTGACACACAAGCAAACATGTCTCAAGCAGAATGATTCCACCATAACTTATTCTTTGACAACATGTAGGAACTAAGAGGTAAAACTACTGTTTCCACCAAACCCTTCCTGCAAAATAAAAAAAATCAAACCTCCGAAGTAAAAAGATCTACATGGTGAACATGTAGTCCTGTTGGTTTGACTTCATGCTTGTGCTGGTCATCTGGAGATGAACAAGTTCTGAGAAACTGATATGATTAATTTCTGCCTTTTTAATAAGGCAGTTCTTTTTCTCACCACTGTAACTTCTGCTGCTTTGCTAAAGTGCTCATGATGGATAGGCTGGGTCTTTGTAACATAGCAATGAGTAAGGTCTTTTTACCTGCTCTTTTGTAATGTTAACAGAGTATGGTATTCTACCTGCTTTCTGTAAAGTGTCTTGAGATAACACTTATGAGTTTACGCTATACAAAATAAATTGAATTGATATCAAAGATTGGCCATCTGAATAAAAATGTGCTGTGATTTTTATAGCTCAGGCAGATGTCAATCTAACCCTAAGCTAGAACATGATCAGAGAACCACAGCACCTAAAATCATTTGTGAAGACACTTTGTATAAGTCAACCATTACATCATTTTGATGCAGAAATCCAAAATGGCCACAATCTAACAGGGTGAAACTCTTAAAGGTGTTTCTTCAGTGAAAACTCATGAAAACACACATTTGGTATGACATGTTATTACACACATTTGGCTCTTTGTGTGTGCATGCTGTGTTGGGGGCTTCAGTTGTAACTGCCCCTGAAGAAAATGTTTTTTAATGTTTGGCTAAAGTAAGAAGTTTTGGTCATACTGTGTGTTGCAATTTCCCCTAATGTTTCAATCCACTTAGGCATTGTATATTTGTCAAAGGCTAATCAAATTTCATATCTTAATTGCTACCAGTTGCTAACATCTTGGTTTAAAATTCAAGACACATTTTCACCCTGTTGGTGGCCATCTTGGATTTCTGAATCAAAATTAAGTCAGAATCATAATCCTCATGGTTGCCTTATTCAAAAAAAGATTTACAGTCCCTTATAGTATACAAGAGTTGTGCAATTTGATGGCTCTTTATCACCTCGCTCAACCAGACCAACTGTGGGTGTTGACTTTGATTACCCTGATCTATCCGATACTTCTGACGGACGTCTGGTTAGAATCGATGTCTGTAAATTATCTAGCGAGTGTGGAACGGAGACTGGAGTGACAAGTGAGGAGCAGTGACAGCACTACAATAAAAACCTTAATTCCACGCTGCTCTTTCTGCATGTGGCTATGATCCAGCTTCAATTATGCAATCCCTGCAGAGCACAAACAACGTGAAGTGGACTCGTGTTACAGGTCAGCGACGAGGACAGGAACCAGTGTCAGAAAGAGCGTGATGATGGAGAGTTCTGGTAAAGCAATTAAAAAAAAAAAAATCAGTGCCATAAATTCCCTTAATTTCAAACTTTTCAAGGAACATTTGGTGTACATAATTTCCTAGTAGGTGTAAAGGAGGGTATTTCTCGCTGTCAGTGGCCTATTGCTCCATGATGAGTCACAAAAATGAATCATGTCGTTTGTGGGTTCTTGCCAAGCGGGCAGTGAAATAATACACTATAGCAACAGAAGAAGAAGAAAAAGACTTAATACATTTTAATTCAAAGACCACACCCATTTCATACCATTCAAGGAAGGGGGATGGAAACATTTATGACTGAAAGTTTATCTTTTGTGTTGCAGATCAGCACGGAAGCAGTTAATGTTACTATATATTAACTATAAGTTAATAGATAGAGATCAGGTTTTTATTAAAAAACATGTTGGGCAATGCCACTGGCTGCTATTGAATAAGGAGAATGCCAAATTCTTATACTCTAAAGTTTCACTAAACTAAAGTAATCACTAAACAAGTGATTCCTAAAGTGTGCGCTGTGGCCCTCTGGTGGACATGGAAGGTACTGCAGGTGGGCCAGGTTACAGTAGTTTCGTTTACAATGAATAGAAGACATGTTTTTTATTTTTCAATATTACAATTTGCAAAAACTTACATATTCTGTTGCTTTATACATTTATTAATGTATGTGGATGCATTATATAGAATCAGGCCACTGCATTTTGGGAGGCTGGCCTTTTTGATAAGTGCTGTATGTCAAATAAGTTACGGTAATCATATAATGAAAACACTTCAGGGTGAAGATGGGGACTTTTGCGCCTATTATGAATACATGGACATCTGCTGTGACAGCCCTAACTTTGTGGATGGTGACGCTGTCTGTCAGTGGAATTGTTCACTGAAAGAAGGCCGCTGGGAGGCAGGAAAGTCTGCAGGGGGTCCAAACGGCCTGACAGGTGAGGTTAGAGTTTTGATTTTTTGAGGTACGTTAATAAAAAAAACCATCCTCAATACATTTTTTGTAATTGATCTTCACTTAGCATAGCGGTGATAATGGGGACAGATTAACCATTCAAATCTTCAAGGTCAGTGTGGTTTCATATGTATAAGTGAGGAAATATGTCCGTGAAAAGAGATATGTGTGTGGTCATTGCATTTGTGCTGTGTTTTAGTGACATATTACAGGCATTATGTGTAATCTTATGTCCTCATATATATATCCTTTTGTTCTAAACAGGTGCCATCACAGGTCAAAATAAATAAAAAATAATAATAATATACTGCTTATGTTATAAAGAAATTATCAGGCACATACAAAGAGCCTTGACACATAAACATTTTTCCCTTTTATAATTTTCTGTAGGCACCCAAAGGACGACTTCCTTTTTGTCTCTTCCAGAATCAGGAACCTCTAAAAGTCAGTGAGTTCAGCCAGAAGAGAGAGCTGATCAAGTTCCACAGCTTGGAGCTGGGGGAGTACTTGATCATCTCTTGCATGGACGAATCAACACAAGACCTCAAGCTTCATCATGACAATCTACTCCAAGGCTGAATCTGAGATGGAGTGAAGTCACATGAGGTACAAAAGATTAAAAAAAACAAAAAACAGATTGTTCTTGTGAGGCTGATGGAGATTTTCATGGTGGATAACTGTTATTTATACCTCTTGGGTTGATTTTAAAATTATTGTTTACCATTATATGCATTCTAAAGGACAAATAAATAATGAAAACAAAAACTCAGTTGTTAGTTACCTGAAACTTGTATTAAGCATTGCCCCCCAATACAACTACCCTTCATGTTAACAAAAATGGCTGCTTATTGTGTATGTCTGTAAAGACTTATTTAAGGTACCTTGTGGAGCCCATTGTTTCACTATGAAGCAGAGGTTTTATGAGTGTGTCCCTTGCTGGTTTGTATCATGCAAGGACACACCTAGATGTTCATGAGCATGCTTGTTAAAAGATGGACTTCATAGCTTCCAGCTGCTAACCAGCATTTAGCTGAATGAGGTCATTTTGGTCATTTCCCATTTCAGTGCAGGGAAGCGGACTGCTCGCACATACAGATGGATGAAAACAATACATGTTTTATACTGTCCAAAAAATCTGATCGCTATATGTTTTCCTAAAAAGATTAGATTGTTTTTAAACCCAAGGACAAAATCATTTTTTTATATCAATATAAATATATTATTTACTCTGAGTTTAATGGCTTTCTAATATAAATTCATGCAAGTTGCTTTTTTTAAGATATTTTAGCCCTGAAACAAGTCCTCTTCTTAATATGTGGGGGGTTTACTAGCCCTTGTAAGAAACCTGTTTTCTCAATCCTAATTCTTTCACTTTGAGCAATGGGGTCTGTTATACAAAAAAGGTTCTGCTCTGAGCTGGATTGCTCCCAATGGATGTCACCTTCATTCCTCATACAGGAAACACAATATATGAATAGAAACCTGGAATCAACTAACAAGCCAGGTAAAGTCAATGCAGACACAGATACTAATTATTGACAATTACTTAATATTGAACAAAATTTTCACCTCTTGAATGACTTGTCAGTTCAATAATGAGCCATTATGTCAGAGGAAATCTTTAAAGGCACCAACTACACAAACACTGATGTTTTGTTAAGTTCAGTGAATAGCGTTAGAGCCGAGATGACAACACAGCAGTACGGCCAGAGGCTCTCAACTGTCACTCAAAGCAACAAGGCTTATAATTATGTTCAACTTTAAACCTTTACGTATTAAAATGTTGGAATGTTAGAATGTTAGAATTTCAACCTGGGAGAGATGTGACAAATAGAGAAACTAGCTATATGGAGACCAAACCTTTCTTTAATACAGGAATTTAAACATGTTTAATTCTGCTGTAATGTTTGGCATTATGAGCATCTATAGGGATTGCCCCAGTTCTGTCAGCCTTCAACTGCGGTTGTTTTGCACTTCCAGCCCAACAGGTTGCCGCTGCATTACGATAACTTTCAGGTTTTAAATAGGAATAAATCTATAAACACATACCCAACATGAATTAACGTTTCTCCTCTGGCTTTTTTCAGATTTTATAAAAAGGAATGATGTTGTATTTGACTTCTTCACAACACAAAAAGTTCAGGAGTCCAATCCCTCCATATCAGGAAAGGAGCTCCCTGCAATGCAAGTATAGGAACTTAAAAGATTGAAGATACTTCCTAATTCTAAAAATACGTGAAAACATTATCAAGTAAAGTTATCTTTACCAATAAAATTCAGAAAATTGTCATTGTGTTTAATTGTTGTGACAAAATAATAGGTCCAGATCACCACTAAATTGTTTTATTCCTGATCAAAGTCATCTTCTTCTTGTGTATGAAAGTGAGGAAACTCCTCTTCATGCTCCCTTTGCAGAAATAAGAAATAAAAGCTGTCATTAAATGACAAACTCCTGTATTCTTGACTAAACTATACAATTAGCACTGCAATATTTAAATGTTTATTTTCTTGCTTCAGGGTTTGATATCTTCTAGAGACATCATCGCTGAAACTGAATTTAATAGTCCAAACCATTGAGGGATGGGGAACTTAAGAAGG